TCTGTGCGGCTTGCTGTGGGTGTGAAGCACGTGGTGCAAAGTCCGTCGGGGCTAACTTGGTGCAGATTTATCTCACGAGGGTGAGGACTGCGGCGGATCCAAGGCCATCCGTCCAGATGCTGCCATGACTCCTTGTTCATGAACGGGAAGCCCAGGGGAACGAGGTCAACGAGCTCGTCTGATGAGGCCTGGCAACTGGGTATGTCGAAGTCCAGCATATAAACGCCGTCCATCGATCGACCCTTTCCGAGGTATTTGTGCGACTCGGGGGGTGGGGGGGAGGGGGGTATCCGGAGGAGCGTAGGTCAGGATGAGGTCGCGCGTGTTCGGGTACGTAGAGGACGTCGTTGAACGAGATGTGCGTGTTGCTGTCTCGGGCTTGCAGTACCACGATGCCTTGCGCGCTTGCTCGCAGTTGCTCGTTGTTGGCGACAGTAACGTAGGTGGCAGGGGCGAGGCTGATGTTGGAGATGTACCTGACGGATCCCACCATGTGTTGGCCGCAGCAGCTGTCCAGGTACCAGGTATTTTGGTTTTTGTTGTCGTTGCGCAAGAGTAGCGCAAGCCGCGGAGTTACCAGAGTTGCCTTGAATCTTCTGTGAAATGTCGGATCTTCATCCTCCTTCCATCCCACAGGTACAAAGCGCTGATTGTCATGGGCGTGCTTTCCCACAGCTGTATTGGCTGATGCCAATCTTGTTCGTCCTTGTCGTACACGTAGTAATGATACTCTGTGAAGGGGTTGTTCCATCCTTCTTCAGGTTGAATGAGCTCGCCGCGAGGTTCTTCCTCTTTGTCTGGTTCAGCGCTACACGGGCGACGCCTTGTCGCCATATTTGCGATGACGTTTCTGGGAGCTCCTGCTTGAGCTGCTTGAGTCTGTTGTTGTTGTTGCTGTGCAGGATGGCGAGAAGTTTGTTGGTGAAGCTGAGATTGACGAGCGTCTTGTCGGCCGACCCAATTGTTGTGGTGAGTGGAATTCGGGTGGCGATAGTTGGACCGGGATTTGCATCGGTCCGTTGAGTGTCCGAAGATTTTGCAGATTTTGCAATAGTGGCGCCTTGGTTGTCGTCGCTCTTCACGGTTGTCTGTGTAGAAGATGAGGCGCTCTCGGCGCGACGCGGAGCTTGTCCTGCTCGAATACATGTTCTGCTGTTCAGTCAGGAAGGCGGCACATAGCGCGGCTTTAGAGATGATTCTTCGTTGTCGGAGTAGCGCTTTGCAGGGCTTCCACTCGGGCCCAAGTCCCTGGAGGATGATGTAGACGAAGATCTCTTCCGAAATATCGCTTCCATTCTTCGTGATTTGGTCACGAATGTTCCGACAGCGGTTAATATATGTATTCGCTTTCTCCCCGTGCCCCATCTTGGTCTCCATGAGTTGCTGCAGGAGCCTGCTGGAGGTGACTGAGTCCTTTGACTGATATACCTCAACGAGGTGCTTCCAGGCTTCCAGGGCTGGAGCCGCGCTCGCTTTGCAGGAGCGAATGTCGAGTTGTTCCGCAGGCGTCATATTGCGTAGCAGCACGCTATACGCCAGAAGGGACTCACTGTAGTACTGAGCCCGGGAGTCTTCGGTGTCTTCCACCGGTTTAGGGTAGGAGACGTCGAAGTAGTGGTAGTACTGTTTGTAGGAGGAGCTCCAGCTCAAAACTCCATGTGTAGAAGCCCTTTCCGTCAAACGCGGCAGCAGTCTTGATTTTTGAAACGCTGAGAAATCGTGCTGGCGCAGAGTTGATGGCTTGATCACTTGGATGGGGGGTTGTTGTTGTTGATTTGTCTGCGTCGAGGGAGAAGGTGTGCGCGTTGGTATCACGGCTTTTCGCATCCGGTTGACCAGTTTGAGCTGGTTGGGAAAAGGTTCCTGCGTCGCCTTTGCGCAATTCTTGGAGTTCTTTCTCCATAGTAGATAATCGCGAGAATAACTGCTCGAGTGCGGCAGTGCTGATCGTAGTTGTCGCCTCATTTGTCGCAGCCGGGTTGGTTTGTCCTTCGGCCGTCAGATTTGTTTGGCCTCCGGATCCTCCGGCCATCTTGGTCTTGGAGCGTGTGCCGCTCGCCAGATCTAGGTTCGGCAAATTTCACGGAAGCGACGTTGCGAAGAATCCTTGAGTTGCTCTCGTACCATGTTACAATTCTAAATGGGACTTAGCCAGGGATCGGCTCAGGGTTGTTCGCAGGTGGTATTGCAGCGGAAGTGTTGACCTCAGATCCAAGTGAATGTAAAATGACTAAGATGATAATAGCATGCATACATTGTGTTTAAATAAGAATTACAAGGAATATGAAGAGTCCAAGACTAGCCATGTACTCTAAGGGGTACATTTCCTTATTGCAGCCGAGTTTAAACCGTGCGGCGAGGGAAATTGTTTCAAACCTGTTCCCGCTCTTTTCATTTCAAATGTTAACTACCTGCATCGGTCTGGATCTGACGGTTGCTAGCGTCGCTTCGACTCTTCTGACGCCTCGACTTCGTACTCGGTAGAGTCGGCTCCTGCAGCATACAGGAATGCCTTCTCATTGAATTTCATATCGTAACAGAAGGCAAGCACCTTCAATTTTCTAGAAATATCATCCTTGATCGGGCGACGCGAGCAATGCAATCTACAAGCAACCCGATCAGACTCGACCCTGTTAACGGGAGTGCCTGTTGGCCCCGCTCTCGGTTGGGCAACGCCGACAACTTGGTCGGATGTACGGGAGAAGCAGCCGACCGTTTCGCAGTGAAGGAGCTGTTCGACGGGCCTCGTCGAGCTGCAGGGATTCGTTGTAGTGTTGCTGTCGACCAGGGAGCTCGACAGCTGCAACTGACTGGTCTGGGCGACGGGTGGGCCGTCGACCAGGAGGGGCAGTTCGACCGGGAGGTCGACGGAGCAGTCCGTCGACCTGCAGCTCGACCGGGAGGTCGACGGAGCAGTCCGTTGATGTGCAGTTCGACCGGGAGGTCGATGAAGCAGTCCGTCGACCTGACAAGTGAGCAGCGGTCGACGAGGGGAGCTCGGCGACAACCGCTGACAGTTCTGGTCGCCGGAAGGGGTCCGTCGACCAGGGGGTAGCTCGACGGAAGGTGTGGTCGACCAGGGGCACCTGGTGGTCGACCAGAGGGAGCTGTGGTCGACCGGAGGCACCTGGTGGTCGACCGGGTAACTTGCACGACGAGTTTTGCGGAGGCACGCGAACGTCGTCGAGGTCGCAATGGCGAAGGCGACTTCGGGCTGGTATCCCGAAGTCGATGTGGCTTGTCAGGCGCAGACAACAGCCGACGGATGCACAACGATGCAAGTCAGGCCAATCGTCTGCGCGCACCTGCGACGCAATGCTGGCAGGCGCTCGACCATGCAGTGCTGGCGGTCGACCAGGCTAGCTGCAGAGTTGCTAGGTGCCTGATGTAGTCCATTCTGTAATTTCTCGTGTATCATTCTCTAATTCCAACTTTGCCTAGTGAAACTCTTGCCGATTTCTCCCGTGAATGTGCAAGCACTAAGGAACTAGGCAACGCTACGATCACTCCTAATAGTTCGTGCCAACCTCCGTAGCCTAGCTCACTACCGGTGTAGAGTGCATCTCCGCAGACCCGACCATATAAGAGCCGATCAGAGGCGATTCAACCCACGTCATAACACCTTCAGAGGCGTCGTATTACAACCGATATCATACACTTCCCATATACATTTAAACCTGCACACTCACAACACAGTCACCGTACAGGGTAACTTTTGTGACGATATGCAAGAAAGGCCAAGAGATATTCTTGCTTCACACTGGGATAGACAGCTATTGGGGATATTCAAGCACGAAATTGACTTCCTCAAACGACAAACATATGTGAAATACACCCGAATACACCAGTTTGGGGGATGCACGAGCTCCAGCAGACTTCGTGAAAATGGTTAAGTATGTGTGGTGTGTATGAGAGAGGTACTGTGCAGCCACGCCTGTTGCATCGTCTAAGTTGCCCCGCGTGGGCACTTTTGTTCTAAATGTGAGTGGAGGTGAGGCGACTCGCGTGTTATCGGCACGAAATAACGGAAATCAATGAATTCACATATAGGCCCCCTACGCGGACACTATGACTGTATCAGGGTACGTCAACAAAGCACCCATGCGGGTGTAAAACACTCTGAAATCTTAGGGCGCTTTAGAACAAATATAATGAAGTAACGGGGTTTTAACTACGGACATCCTGAAACTTGGGAGAATGTGAGGTAGCAAAACCCTGAAATCAGGGTAATCATGTATTTTACATTGAGATCATTGGCCCTGCTTAGGATTAGTCAGACATCCCCAGTGCTAGTCTTCTGACACCCCCCTTCACAGTGATCCTCTAGGATATGGGACAGCGGCGGCGCAAGCATGTTCATTTATGGGGATTTGAACTCAAGACATTAGCTCTGATACTATATCAAATCTCAACCACTAGACTACTAGGATAAATGGGCTTGTTAAGTAGCGGGTTAATGCGCCCATAACCCTGCCACCCTTCCTTCAGATCAATCGAGCATACCAAGTGCTTGTCGTCTGCCAATTTTGAGTTACGTGTCAAATCAGGGTGCAATAGAGGCTTACTTTGACTTCTAGGGTAAAAAAATGTCACACTGTCTAGATCATGGTGTGTTAATAGACACATTGTTTGTGCAAATGGTGTGAACAAGTTGCAGTGATCATGAACCAATAGTTACAATGGGACTGACGTCAAACTGTCAATGCAGTGATGATGAACCAATGGTAACATGAAGAGACCGACATCAAACAGTCAACGTGTAACCCAAATCTTTTATAAGCCCTTTTTTGCTAGCTGCGACGTTGACGAACCCTGGCGAAATGCCGAATGCATTTACAAGCCCAATGCTCAAGGCGACCATGGGGGACTCAAACGAGTATCAGCTGTATAACTTTATGTATGTCCTAGATATTGCACTTCCGCTCGCTGACTTGCCCCCAGTTAGCCTCGATAACCACTGAACTGCTGCCACGTGGTCTTACCCTTTCTGGTTTGACAGCATGGCGTTAGTGCTAGCTCTTCCGTCAACTGCCAAGATGGCGGCATGGCGCAATCCCTCAGACTTCGTTAACCAACGAGCTACTGAAAAGCCTCATTCGTCGGCGCTCACGCCGCTCGTTAGTTCCAGCTGCCGTCCGTTACAGGCACATCGGCGCTTTCGCGTCTCGGCATCTTCCGCTAACATCGACGGAGGTCCTTCCGCGGAAGCTTCCTCGGTCCCTTCCGAGTCTCCCACCACAGCTGATGCAAATGACGTCACGACGACGTCAGCAGGTCGCGATACCGAGTCAGGCAAGGAGACGCAGCGGCAATCATCCGCCACGTCATCAGCCGGCCGGTCGCGACGCGCGGCGGATTCGACGGACTGGATAGCTTCGGCAGTGACGCGTAGGTTCGGCATCGGCGCGGGGCTGGCTTGGGTGGGGTTCCTGGCGTTCGGCGTGGTGTCGGAGCAGATCAAGACGCGGCGCGAGGTGTTTCTGGAAGAGAGCAACACGCGGTGAGCGGAAATGCGGGGCGAGAGTTCGGGTCGGGTCGAGGTGAGCTGACGAGACTCTCCTGCGACTGAAAGTCAAGCCATCATTCTCAATCACGAATCCCTCCCAGAACATAGCCGCCCTTCCTCACCCTCGCCCTCACCCTCACCCTCACCCTCACGGTCGCTTCTGTTCTCCTCTGCCTGTTTTGCTGGTTGTGAGAGGTGAGGGATGTTCGTTGGTGCGACAGACAGAGGTACCCAACCAAGTATAACCCACCGAGCAGGTCACTTTTCCGTGCAAAAGGCACTTTTTTCGCAGTGACATGCAATTTGCTTCACGTTCTGCCTGCACGCACCTCAGTCAGCTCTCTCCAACCCCCAACCCCACTTCCTCTCCTCCCCTCACCTCACTACTGACAGCGATGTGGCGATGCTCTGTTGGGCGATGCTCTGTTGGGCGATGCTCTGTTGGGCGATGCTCTGTTGGGCGATGCTCTGTTGGGCGATGCTCTGTTGGGCAAGGCTCTGTTGGGCGATGCTCTGTTGGGCGATGCTCTGTTGGGCGATGCTCTGTTGGGCGATGCTCTGTTGGTCGACGCTCTGTTGGGCGATGCTCTGTTGGGCGATGCTCTGTTGGGCGATGCTCTGTTGGGCGATGCTCTGTTGGGCGATGCTCTGTTGGGCGATGCTCTGTTGGGCGATGCTCTGTTGGGCGATGCTCTGTTGGGCGATGCTCTGTTGGTCGATGGAGACGGATCTGCCCAGCAGAGGCAGGTTCCCCGGAAGGGAGAACCTTTTCCCGGGAGGGAGGAGGAGGTTGTGCCATGCCATCTCCCGGAAGGGAGAACCTTGGCTTTTGCATTCCCTCCCCCCTCGTTCCCATACTGACACCAGCGATGTGGAAAAAGCAGAGGAGACGGAGCTCCCCATTAGAGTCAGACTCACCGATGTGTATAAAGTGATTTTTTAAGCCGTCTCAAAGAGTCAGACTCACCGATCTGAGACTCGGAGGAGGCGCCATCTCCCACAAGGGTGACTTTTGAGGCGCCTCAAAAGTGAGACTCGGAGGAGGCAAGGCGCCAACTCCCAGGAGGGTGCTCACCTCCCTCGTTACACACGTATACATTCACTTTTTCTTTCCGTGATCCATGCCAGGGACGTGGAAGATGCAGAGGAGACGGACCTGCCCAATGGAGTCAGATTCACCGATCTGAGAGTGGGAGGAGGTGCCGTTCTCCAAAAGGGAGACCTGGTGCTCGTCTCCCCTCTCTCACACATCCCCTCTTCCTTTTCCCCTCCCTGTGTGCGTGTGTGAACACCAGGGATGTGGAGGATGCAGAGGAAACAGAGCTGCCCAACGGAGTCAAATTCACCGACCTTAGAGTTGGAGGAGGGGCTGTCCCCCAGAAGGGAGACCTGGTGCTTGTCTCCCTTACAGGCCGCGTCTCACTACCGGCACAGTCCAGCACCACTGTATCTGAATCCGGATCAGATTCTAATTCCGAACCAATCACATTTATCGACACTACAGCGCCTGGGGCCCGGGACCTGGTCTTCTCATTTGGCATTCGGCCGTTCCCCAGGGGGGTCACTGAAGGGTTGGTGTCAGCAATGGCGACCATGCGGGCGGGCGGGAGGCGAAAAGTTTTGGTGCCCGCGGATCTCGGCGGTGAAATGTCTGCAGGCGGAGGAGGAGAGGGAGAGGGTGGTGCTGCTGGTGGGGCGATTCTAGAATATGTCGTGGAGCTGAAACGCGTGTCCATCCCTCCGTCATAGGGCTTTGCTCCTTCAGCAAAACTCAGGGTTGCAATGATGCAACACGCGGCAATGATGTGTGTGAAGGCGGATAGGGAGGGAGGGTGGGTGGTACGGCGGTTCTAGCATATGTCGTGGAGCTGAAACGCGTGCCCATCCCGCCTTCGTAGAATCGCACTGACATACAAATCATGCGATGCGTGTGTTGGGCTGAGATGTAGCCCTAGGATTCATCCAGCAGCAGTGTGGATGCTTGTGTGATTCAGGGACTCGGATCGGACGTACCCGATAAGTTTTGGCGTGTCACTGGTGGGGTCACTGGGTGGTGCAAAACTGCTCCATGCAAAACTGCTCCATCCACCGCCTTAAAGCTCATCTTGTACGAGAGTCTTTCACGCTGCCTTGGTGTATTGCACACGCTTCATATGTGTGTGTGTGCGCTTCAATGTCTTCCCCAAGGAAGAAGGCTTGTTGCTGTTCCCCAGAGGTGGATTGCTCAGCTGGGGTACGGTACATTGCTGTGTCAGAAGCTGTCTATTTAGGTGCCTCAAAAGCTGGTGTTCTGTTGCTGGTGGCATACCATTGAGCTACAAAACGTGCCCAATGCACGTTTCCTGATTTTAGGCATCTTCCTTCAGCAGGGCTGTCTCAGCAAACATGCTTTGACCTGCAAGTTTTATGAGAATGACAATTTGTGATCCTACTAATGTATGCTCTACAGATTACAAATTAATTATCCTGCTAGCCGTTGTTCCAGTTTGAACAGCTTCGGGAACAATTACAGAATCAGACTGACCCACCTGGTCCCACCAAAGAGACCATGGCCAAAGAGCCTATAAGGTACGGTAAGAAGCTCTTGTTAGCAGCTCCTGTTGAAATGTGAAGTAACTGGTAAACCCAACAACGATCTCGATCACCCAGCCGATCCCAACCTAACCCAACCCACCCATGACACCATACAGCCAGCCCTGACCTGCATTGAGTTGCAAGTCTGAAACGGGGAGACAAGTACTGTACGCTACTGGCAGGTGAAGGGGTGTAAGCTATTGGCAGGTACCTTGACGACTGCTACTCCTGCCACGAAAAGGGGTGACCACCCAGCAGAAGTAACTACGGTACCTGCACTGCACAAAGAAGCACGTTCGCGAACCACCTGCTGCTGCAGCCCCTGAAGCTTTGCCTCCCACTGTTGTACTCACTCGGCTGACAGATGTCCCTGACCCACGTATGTGCTGTGCCCTCACTCCATGCACGGCAGCTTCCAGATTCACGTGACTTAGGAGAATTCACAAAATGTCCCCAATACAGCGCCTGAAACAGATGTGCCTTTACTCCATTGACACTAGCTTCTAGATCGACTGATTGTGCCATATGATTGGTCACTGCCGTCCTCTCCTGCCACCCACCCCTCTGGACAGAGCGCCTTGAGCAGCGTGCATGCTCCTTCCCTCCCATGGAACTGCACGCTACGTTGCAACGCCCTGAGTCCTCCCTGCACCACACACCATGTGACTACACCCTGCGACCTGCCATCCACCCCTCTGGACAGAGCGCCTTGACCAGCCCGCATGCTCCATCCCTCCCTCCCCTTGAACTGCACACTATATTACAAAGCCCTGTGTCCTCCCCTGCCCCGCACACCATGCATGTCACTTCGCCTGCGTCGTTCAGACTGACTAAAACAACAGCCTAAGCGAATTAGGAGCTACACGAGGAAAAGAGTCATCAGAACGAAAAGCCCGAGCATCAGCAGCAGCCGCGACAGGAACGCCTGCTGCTGTACCTCAACCGGATTCAGGTTCTGCTGCTGCGGGTTCCCCGGCTGGTTCACCCCTCCCCCAGAAAAACTCCCCCCAATCCCACCTGCCCCGGGCCCCCCCTCCTGCCCAGGGAAAGCGTGTAGTTGAAGGCCAAAAAGCGCGGGAAACAATCCGAAGCCTGCGGAAACGGTAAACCCGCCAAATTGGGCCGTTGCGAACGGGCCGCCTGCTCCTGCGAAAACTCCCATGCCTGGGTGGTTGTAACCCCACCCGCCGCCTACGCCAGCCGCAGCTCCGTTTCCGTTAGGGTTCCTGACGGATTCCGTCCGTTGGCCGGCCGGCCGGCTTGGGATGTCTTCGTCTTCATCAGGAACGGGTTTCTTGCGAGGATCTGACGGAGCTTTGCCTCGGCCGTATAGAGGAATGACTTTGGCTTCGTCGACTGCTGCCTTGCAGACGGGGCATTCTTTATTGTGCGGGTTTCGGCGCAACCACCGATATAGGCACGCCCAGCAGAAGAGGTGGCCGCAGAGCGTTATAACGGGGTCGTTCGCCGTTTCGAAGCAGATGTTACACTCGAAGTTACCGTCCGAACTAGGAGCTCCGGAAGTTGACGGCGCGGCGCCGCTGCTCTCTCTGCCGCCTCCACTCTCGTCTCCGCTGCCGCTGCCGCTGCCGCTGCCACTGCTCCGCTTCCGCTGCCGCCGGGGACGGGGGAGGAAGTGTGCGGGAATGATGAGGAGACGCCAGCAGTCGCCATCCTTGCCAAACAAACAAGGTATCCAACCCGAAAGACGGGCTCAAATAGGCTACTTTGTCTCTTGCGAGATTCAAATAAACACGATCCTTGGCTTTAATTCCCGACGACCAGCTAAGACCACGTTTCTTTTCAACTGGGCTTGCAGATTCTAGAAGCTTGTCCCAGTGATAATTGCACGGGCAGCCAACGCATTCGCGTAACCCTAGATTCACAAGTACGGGTTACTCGTTTGTGAGTGACCCGTTAAAAGGATTTTATGGAAGAGAGACAAAGGGGAGTGTAGAAATGGCTTTCTTTTTAACTTGTAACTTGAACTTGTAACAAGCATGATTCCGCAATTGTTCGCAGAAGCAATATTTCTGGGATATCGCCGGGTGGTACAGAGCAGGCCAAAAACCATGCGCCCGAGGTGGGACTTTTTTCCCCATAATGTCGCCAAAAGCTGCCACTTGCTGCGTGCACCTAACCGTGCAGGTCTCTCCTGTCGTTTTTGGGCACTCTTTCATGTCAGGGTTTTCCACGGGGGTGGCGGCACTAAACGGATTGGTGGTCATACAGCCCAACCAAACCCTAAGAAATGAGTTGTCAGGTCACGCTGGTAGCTGAAGTACGGAAAAGATGGGGTATTGTATTCCAAAGGGCAGCTCAGCTGTGCTGGTAACTCGATGTAATTGAAATTTTGGAAATCCGCGTCAGTACACTAATCTTCTTCGCGCTCCGCGTCTCGGACCCCCTGACGCGACGCGAACGGTGGCTTTGATTGAAATCTGGGATTTGCCGATTGGCCTTGTCGTTCGGGCGGGCATCGTCAGCTCCACTCTCTGGTTAGCAAACCAATCAAGCGAGCAGACAACAGAGCAACGAGTTTCTCTGGTACAGTAGGGCAGAGTACAGTACAGTCTGCTAAACCGCGGTAAGATGCGGTGCCTCTACGTCCTTTCTCCTCCTTTCCAACCTTGGTCTCATCTTCCTTCTCTTCCCGATGGCCATCTCTGTCTTCTTCACTCGTCCCCTGCAGCATTAGGACCGACGTGGGAACTGTAGTTCATTCAAAATCTGCTCACCTCGGAACAACAGCAATCGTTCTGCTGCATCTGAGTTTCGTGCTTCGTTCTTCCCGTCGCCATGTCTAGTTACCACCGTCCGCACAATGCAAGGCTGTTCTCTACCTCATGTTACGGTCATCTCTTCATCACGTTCGGCAACATCATGCCGCAGGAAGTTGTGCTATGGCCGAAAAGATCGTCCCATCCTAGAATCCTACGTATCGCTACCGATCCCAGGTTCCAACTGGGGCAAGGACGAGCCAGAGTATCGACAGATTATATGTACTCCTACTTCGGAGTTTGTTTATGTATCACAGTCTATGTACAGAATACAGCAGCTCCTCGGAGCTCGATTGTTCGCAGCCTTAGGGTGAGTTTGCTACCCTAAAGCATCACGCAGGTCCCCGCGTCATCCGCTCCAGCCCTCCCTACTAAGAGACAAGCGCAGTAACATTTGCACGTATACCGTCGGCGTGGTTTGACGCTGAAACCCCGCGGACCTCCCCTCCTTCGCAAGAAACGGATTTCCCTAGTTTTTTTTTTTAATATAACCGCTGAATGTGACGCGGCTTTTTAAGCGCGGAGTCGAGCCATAGCTTTTGTAGTACCACTCATAAAAGGAAGCCTCGCAGAGGCTCGAAACGGAAGCGGCGTTTCCCCGCAACGTTGTTGGACGCCTGCCATCCCAACGGCATCAGATTAACAATGGGGTTTGCAGCAGATAGCGGCGCAATTCGCGCGGCATTCCCCTGCGTCGAACAGACCTAGAGAAGCTGCCGGATCTTGCGGTTGCCGGCGCTGGTTGGCGTGGCACGTCTTTTCGCAACGGCGCGACATCGTCAACGTCAACCTCATCGCTAGCAGCAGCACCAGCAGCAGCAGCAGCAGCAGCAGCAGGCAGACAGATGCTGGCACACTGGGTGATTCAGGGGCAACCTAACGTTGATTTTGATTGCCGGCAGGTGGTGTTCTTAGCTCAGCCGGCAAACGACGACTCGTCGTCGGATGACGACGATGACGTGGCGGAACGAGCGATGGGAGCCGTAGGGCGAACCGCGCCGTCGACGTGTCTGCCGCCGCTCATGTTTCCCGGAAGTGTTTCGCGGCGCGGCGCGGACGCGATAAACGCGCATGCCGACTCCCCGATCATGCCGTTGGCTATGGCGTTCACGGAGTGTGATAATAGCGAGAATCAGTCCGCAAACGCGCTGCGCCGACAAGCTCAGGGAGCTCTTAGTGAAGCTGAAGATTCGTTGACGGCGAAAACGCCGGCAGCCGTCGCACGGGATGAGCGACAGTCGCCGAGGTGTCGCACAAAGTCGCAGTCGATGCACGAAATCGCCCACGTCGCACCGATTCGCATGACGAGTGCTAGCACTTGTAGAGCGGAAGCGCTGAAACCGCGGCATTGGGAGGATCAGCGCCAACGTCAGCAGCAGCAGCAGAAGAGGGAGCAGCGTGAGTGTAACGCTAGTAGTAGAAGCAACGGAGTGGGGACCGGCGGAGAAACAACGGCTAGTAGCAGAAGCAACGGAGGCGCCAACCGTATCAACAAGAGCAGAAGCAACAATGACGCGATGACTCGTCTCGAGGCGCATCACCAGCTACGGCGACGCGCGTACCTGTCGTCGCGTTCCGCGGCTGCCAGCCAATCATTCTCCGCGGCAGCGGCAGCGGCAGCGGCGACAGTCGAGGCGACTGCGACGGCTGCGACCGCGGCGACGTCTGCGACCCAGACTGGGGCAGCGATAATTGCGAAGGCGACAACGGCAGTATCGCCAAGAGCACCAGCGGGTCGAAAACCAGTTCCGCAAGTCGCGGTGTCTCCTCCGGCGCCGGTTCTGGCGGCAGCCAGGGGAGCAGCGGAAGCCGCCGCCGTTTCGTCCGCGGCGCGGCCGGCAGCACCCCGCGGCCGGCGCGTGCTGCGGAAGGCGCAGTCGGAGACGCAGAGGGCCGCGCTGTGGCGGCGCAGTCTCTCCCCCTCCCCCTCCCCGCCGCGCCAGGGCCCCGCTCCGCCCTGCCTTGACCGTGCTCCGCCGCCGCTCCGCTCCATGAGAACCGCCGGTGGCGCCGCCTCGAACCCCCACGCCAACTTTAGCACTGGTGGCAGCAGCAACGGCAGCGGCACCCATACTAGCACAACTGCTATTGCTGCTGCCGCCGCGCCACGAGCCTCACGCGCGCTGCGCAAGGCGCAGTCGCTGAACCAGTCCGCGTGGACGCGCAACTCCCCCTCCGCCTCCCCCTCCCCCTCCCCTCCGCGCCGGCACCTTCCGCCGCTGCGGGTCGAGCTGCCGCCCCGAAACCCTTTCCCCTCCTGCTCCCCCTCTCCTTCCCCCTCTGTGGAGACGCGCAACTCCCCATCCGCCTCCCCTTCCCCCTCCCCCTCCGTCTGCCTCTCCCCTTCCCCTGCGCACTTGCGCCAGCTTCCCCAACCACTCGTCTCGGCGAGATCTGCACATTGCAGTGTCGCCGTCGCAACCAGCAGTTCCTCTCCTAGCATTCGGGCAGATAAAAGGGCAGATGAAAGGGCAGGTGAACGGGCAGCTGAAAATCTCATGGAGGAAGATTCTGGCTTCGTCTTCACGCCATCATCCATGTACGCGAATCCCTCGCCCCTGCCGATTTCTCTGTCTCCTCGGCCGCCGCCCGTTCCCTCACCACGTGGCAGTCACTCATTGGGGCAAGCTGTCAAATCGCCACGTGCTAGTCTCCCATTCGGGCAAGGTGACTCGCCACGTGGTGGCAGTCTAACATCGGCTGTCAAATCGCCACGTGGCAGTCCCCCATTGGTCGCCAATGCGTTGCTGCCGCCCCTCTCTCCGCGGCCGTCCACGGCGCCAGCAAAGTCGCCCCGGTTACAGCCCCTCCCCGTCCCGTCGCCACGTGGCAGCCTGCGATTGGGGGAAGGCGGGCCCGTGATTCTCGAGCAGAAGCAGCGAATGAGACGCAAGAGCTTCAGCGTGAGCAGCGAGTGTAGAAGCTGCGGCGAGGATTTACCCGGTGGGACGGGTGGTAGGCCGTGGCACTACCAGCAGCAGCAGCAGCAGCAGCAGCACGCGAGCAGCAGCAACAACAGGCAGCAGCGACAGGGGCAGGGGCAGGGGCAGGGGCAGCGGGGGAATTAGCGGCGACGGAAACGGTTTCTCGCGGAGGGCGGCACACGCGGAGCGCGTCCGCCGTGGTGCAGAGCTCCACGCACCCGCTCCCGCCGCTCCCGCTCCCCCAATCAGCTGCTGCCACGTGGCGCAGCTGGGGCCGCGCGAGCATGTCCTGGGTGGGCAGGCGCAGCGCGCGGGAAGGGCAGGGGCAACCCAGGAGGGAGGCTGAGCGCGGGGAGGCTGAACTGGGGGAGGCTGAATCGGGGAAGGTAGAACTGAGAAGGGCGGAAGCGGGGAAGAGTGATGAACTGGGGGAGGTAGAACCGGGAATGGTAGGGCCGTGCAGGGAAGCTGACGACAGTCAGGCGGCGTTGACTTGCGTTGACTCACCACGGAGCCCAAATCCACCGTCGCCGAACCTTGGGAATGCACCCGCTACAACCGGGGAGGCTTTTGAGCCGTCTCCACGATCCCCTGGGAACGCCGCGGCTACAGCCGGGGAAGTGAGAATAGGAGGAGCTGGGGACCTGAGGATGGGAGGTGCTAGCGATTTGAGGATGGGGGGAAGGTCGTCAAGGCGATTGGCCCCTCCCCCTCCTCCTCTCCCTCCCCCTCCTGCTCTCTGCCCTCCTCCCCCGCTTCCCCCTCCGCCTCCCCTCGGGCTCTCCTCCTCCCGCCGCCGCGCCTCCTGCCCCTCGTTCCTCCTCGCCGCGCCCCCGCTGCTCCGCGACCTCCTTAGAGGCTGCCTCGATAACTCGTTTAAAGACGCGCCGGATGATTATGTAGACGAGTATTTGGAGGACCAGGAGGGCGGGCCTGAGGCTGGGAAGGAGGAGAAGGCGAAAGGTGGTGATAAAAAGGAGGAGGAGTGTGATGGTTTAGAAGGGGCTAAGGGGCATGGGAAGGGTGGTGAGGGGGTTCAGCATGGGGATTCGAGCTTTGAGGCGCCTCAAAAGTCGGGGCATGGGGATTTGTATGCAGAAACGGCAATAGGTGAGGGTAAGAGGGATGGGAAGGCTGTCAAGGTGGTTGCGCACGGCGATTTGTATTGCCATGGGGATCTGTATGGGGCATCGTCGATATCACAACTATCATCCCCGTCCTCCTCGTCCTCCTCCTCCTCAGCCTCAGAGGGAGCAGCAGAGGGGACAGAAGGGGAGGCAGCAAGGAAGAATGAGGGGAGCGTGGGCAGGATCACGGACGACAGAGAGATTGGCAGAGGGAGCGGCAGGGAGAGTGGAAAAGAGATTGGAAGAGATTGGAAGGGAGCCCGCAGGAGTTTGAAGGGAACCTCTACGGTCCCAGACAGCCCCAGCATGCGGAGACGAGAGGTGGCAGCAGAGGGAGCAGCGGAGGGAGCAGAAGGGGAGGCAGCAGGAGAGATTGGCAGATCAGCCCGCAGGAGTATGAGGGGGACCTCTACGGTCCCAGACAGCCCCAGCATGCGGAGGCGTGGGGGAGCGGTGGGCAGTGGCAGACAGCTGGGGTACGGCGGTGCTGTGGGATCCTTCAAAGACGTTGCCGTGCCTTCTAGCGACTTGTGTGACGTCATGCCGTCACACGTGCCGTTTGAGGCAAGTGACTCGGTTCCTAGTAGCTCGGCTTCAGGTGATGAGCCTAGATTTGAGTCGACTCAAAACACGGCTCAAAACACGGTTCCTAATGGTTCAGCTTCAGGTGATTCAGGGTACAGTCGCCGCCGTCGAGCGTCTGGCCAGTTTGACTCGTCGTCTGCTGGCTATGCGGGTGGCTCTGGTCGCTGGAACGGTTCAGAGCGGTTCAGAGGGCGTGGGGAGGAGCGTGGAGAACCTGAGGGGCGGCAGCTGAGGCAGCACTGGCAGCAGCAAAAACAGCAGCTGCAGCAGCAGCCACAGCAGCAGCAAAATCAGCAAGAGGATAATGAGCAGCAGAAGCAGAAGCAGCAGCAGCAGCAGCAGCAGCGGAGGCAAGCAGCTATCCCCCCGCCACTGAAGCTAGCAGAAGGGGGAGGTGTGCAGGGTAGCGTGCTAGGGCGGCCGTACGTCTCCCTTCAGAGTCGCTTCGTGGTGGGCAGGCGGGAGATCGGGCGAGGGCAGTTCGGAGTGATTTACAAGTGTGTGCCGCGTGGTGCGCTTGGAGGGGCCGCGTTCGCATGCAAGACCATCAAGAAGCGGAACATTGAGGTGAGGCGCGCGCGCGCGCACACACACACACACACACACTCTCTCTCTCTCTCACACACACACACACACACACACACTCTCTCACACACACACACACACACACACACATTCAGGCACACACACACATTCAGGCACACACACACATTCAGGCACACACGCACATTCAGGCACACACACACATTCAGGTGAATCCTGAGCCATCTCCTGCTGCTGCCGCCGGTGCCATTGCCGCCGTTGCTGCTCCCGCTGCTGCTGTCTGCATCTTTGATCCCAGCTGTCTGTCTTCTCTTCCTGCTCCCCCCGCCCCCCCCCCCCCCCGGCCCCCCCCCCCCCCCCCCCCCCCCCGCTCCCCCCCAGCAGGAGAGGACAGTGGGCGAGAAGTGGAAGCATTGGAGAGAGTAAAAGGCCACCCAGGGATAGTGGAGCTAAATTCCACATTCGAGGACCCCCACGCGGTGCACCTGGTGATGCAGCTGTGCTGCCATGGGGACCTCTTTGACCACGTCAAGACACGCACACGCCTCCCTGAGCCCACCGCTGCTGCATAGATGTTCACCCCACTGCTCTCCCTTCCCTGCTCCCTCCCACTCCTCCCCTGTTCCCCCACCCCAGACCCTCCCAGCAGCAGAGGACATCCGGAGGGAAGTGGAGGCGCTGGAGAAAGTAAGGGGCCATCCGGGGATAGTGGAGTTGAACTCCACATTCGAGGACCCCCATGCGGTGCACCTGGTGATGCAGCTGTGCCGCCACGGCGACCTCTTCGACCACGTCAAGACGCGCACACGCCTCTCCGAGCCCACCGCTGCATGCATTCTGTCGCAGCTGCTGCACGCGCTGCAGCACTGCCATGACTCGGGCGTGATTCACCGCGACGTGAAGCCAGAGAACGTGCTTATATATGCAAGGGGAGGCGGAGGTGGGGACGGCGAGAAGGTGCTCGTCAAGCTGGGGGACTTTGGTGTTGCGACTCGGTTCTCCCCAGGTAAGAAGTGGTGCTGCTACTAAGGTAACAAGCGCGACGTGAAGCCGGAGAACGTGCTTATAAATGCAAGGGGAGGCGGAGGTGGGGGTGGCAAGAAGGCGCTTGTCAAGCTGGGTGATTTTGGCGTCGCGACCCGGATCTCCCCAGGTAAGAAGTGGTGGCGTGTCCTAGTAACAAGTGCTTCCACATGTTCCAGAAACGCCCTGCACGAACCCAGTGGGAACGGCCATGTACATGGCGCTGGAGCTGCTGCAAGGCAGCTATGGGCCAGCCAACGCAATGCATGCACTGTTAGGGCTGTGACTCATCTTATCCCTCCGTCTCCCTCCCCCCGCTCATGCCCACTGGGCTTAAATATGTTGTTCCAGGCGTGCCCTGCACGGAACCAGTGGGAACGGCCATGTACATGGAGTTGGAGCTGCTGCAGGGCAACTGGAGGCCGCCCAATGTGAGCGATACAGGCACTGGCAGGGCCGCGACTCATCTTCTCACTCGTATCCCTCCCGCCTTGCTCGTGTCTTTTCCCGCTCCAGGTATTCCCTGCACCGACCCAGTGGGAACGGCCATGTATATGTCACCGGAGCTGCTGCAAGGCAGTTATGGGCCGGCAGCAGATGTGTGGAGCGCGGGGGTGGTGCTCTATGTGATGCTGTCTGGAGCTCTTCCGTTTTTTGCCACCAAGAACCGCTCGCTAATTGAGGCGATATTGCATGGGCCGGTTCGGATGGAGGGACCGCGGTGGGAAGGGGTGTCGGAGGGAGCGAAAGCAGTGGTGCGGAGGATGCTTGAGAAAGATCCAGTTGAAAGGGCCACAATACAACAGATTCATGGTGAGTGCCTGGTTTGTAAAACTCAAGATGCTCTTCGCAAGGGTATCTATCTGTGTCGAAATATTCCTCTTATGCGCTCCGACCCATTCTCATTCGTTTCCTGTGCAAAATGCAGAGATTCCATGGATGAAGAAATTTAATGGTTGAAGACAGGATATGTCCTGGAGCACGTGTTGTACAGCCATTTTTTTTCATTACTTATTAGAGATGGGTGGTTTAATCGTCAGTGTTCTATCCAAGCAAACTCAATACTGGGTTTCCGTTTCACGTTACTGACGCTGTATGCGACAAGATCCGAGCCGGGGACTTCCAACCAATCCGTTATTCCCGTAAATTCCACAGGGAATCTCTGCCGTCAAATTCAGGGTCCTCGAGAACCCTCGAACTGACAGCACTTCTTGGCGAAACATCGGCGGCAAGCTCAGGCCCCCTTAACAGTTCGTTATTCCTATCTATTGGCTAGCGACAGCTGTAGCGTCGTTCGCCGGACCTGCGAGATGGTTTCAGGTCGTGCAGGCGAACCACAGGGAGTATCCCCGAAGGCAACGCAGTTTCCGAGGTCCGTCTGCCATTGAGCAGTGCAGGGATGTGCGCAAACCAACAGAAGAACCCACCACCTTCCCCTCCCACACCGCACCACGCATTCGGCACAGCACTGAACAATTGAGACGAGCAGTTGAGCATTGACGCAGGGAAGCGAAGATAGGCAACAGGTCACGACAAGAGATCGTTTATGTGTGAATGTTCAGGGTGGTGAGTTGCGGTTCAAAGTGGCGAAGCGAGAAAACCGCTCCAGAATGCACAACATCGTACTCAACCGCTTCTACCGAACAGAAGTTTACTTCTGTGGCCTACCCTAAGTTTCTTCATGAAAACGTGAAGTCCTTAGTTGCGGACCCACCGCGGCGTGAGCGGAGAACTAACAGGAACACAGAACTTTAGGCACAAACACGTCTAGGACAGTTACACTTACTGGTGCGAGTTACTGGCGGGTAGTGGAGTTTATAGAAAGCAGAGAGCGGGAATGGACGAGGAATGCTCTACACGAGCTTTGTTCCTGTCTGTTATCCGCGTTAATATTGCTTCGATTAGAGTCTCCTGGATTGCAACGACCTCGTTTCGATATAGCATTCAACAATTTGGATGCCATTGACAGGAATCACGCTCCGTTGAATAGCAGGATGGACGCAAGCCACATAACTGCAGAGTATCAAAGTGACCGAGCCGCACCGCGGCTTGCATCAGCGGGTCCAGCGGCGCGGGATGCAGCGCAGGATGAGTACGATCATCGGTCGCAGGGCGACGTCGCAGAGTGGCCGTCGGCACTCGACCAGCTGTCGCAGCCCAACTCGTTTCGCGCGGACGACTGGGACCTTGAGCAAGGCGACAGCCGAGATCCCGACGGCGAAATCGGCGAGGAGGCCGGTTTTCGCGACAGCCGAATTGGCCGCGACGGTAGCGGAAGAATGGGGCTGTCCGCCGGCACGAGCAGGAGGGGGGAAGGCGGGGATAGCATGATACGCGGAGAGAGAGGCGGAGAGAGGGACGATGGGGGATATAGAGGTAGCGCTAGAAGCGTAAGAAGCGAGGGGGGGCTTACGTAGTCGAGATGGACATGGGTAGACAGGAGACTCTTTCGCATGGCCTCGCAGATATGCCGGATGGTAACCCGGTAACCATAGCGACTGCCGGAAGCTTGGTCGATCGTGATGCCGCCGCGAGAGACGGTGAGAGTGAGACTAGTGGCGACTCGTATTGCGACGCGGAGAGCTTCTCGTCTTCTGGCGAGTCTAGCCTTAACCAGTACGGGCAGGAGGGCGACGAAGAGGAGAGTCTCAGCAGCCACGTTGAGGACGAGGAGGACGAAATCGGGGAGGCTTATAACGGGGCGAAGAGGAGCACGTGGCCGTTGGTGGTTAGCATGCGGGAGTTAGAGTGGTGGCAGCAGGCGGTGCTGGTGCTGCTTGTGGCGGTGGGTCTGACCGGAGTGTCTGCTGCCATGGCTGCTGTGGCGAAAGTGGGCGACCTGCTCTTCCTGCCAGCGCCTGTCTGGCTCCCCACTGGCCTCGCGCTCTTCGCTGTCCTCGTGAGCTCTCTCTCCCTCTACTTGGTTCCTCAGGGTGTCCTTTAGAATAATATAAAAGAGACGGCTTTTGCTGTTGTCGCAAGCTCTCCCTTCACTTGGTTGGTTCCACAGGGTGTTTCTGAGAGTTCCTTTAGATTAGAAGGACGCTCTCCCTCACCAACGACTCAGACGTTTTAGCCAAATCTCATGCTCGTTAGCTTGCCTTTGCCCCATCCCCACCCCCATCCCTCCTCCCACCAGGCACTAGCCTATCACGTCTGGCCGGCTCTTTTCCTCTCAGGCACGGACCTCTCTCTCACCCACGACTCTGGGACGTTTTAGCCAATCCGATCTTCTTTTGGCCTGTCCACTCCACCCCTCCCCCTCATCCCCTCCCCCACCCCTCCTCCCAACAGGCTCTAGGCTATCGCATCTGGCCTGCACTTTTCCTCGCAGGCACGGCCCTCTCCCTCACCTACGGTGCCCTGCACGTTGCCCTGCCGCGCCTGCAGCTCATCCTCTACTCCCTCGTGATCGCCACCGACCGCACGCTCTTCGTGCTCCTCCTCGCCTTCTTCCTCATGCGCTTCCTCCGCCGCCAACCCACCGATCTCACCCCGTTAGACCGCGTTTCCAACACCTTCCGCCTCTTCTTCTTCTCCCCCTCATCTCCTTCATCTTCGAAGGGATTGTGTCTATCGTTCTGAGTCTTATCGGAGCCGAGACGCCTGAAACCGCGGCCATTACTGGGTGCTTTCGAACGCTGGCGAGCTTCTCAGGGATTATTCTCACGCTGCCGTTGCTTACGCAAGTGGCGGTGTGGAAACCTTTCCCAGCAGCATCATCAGCATCATCACCATCAGTAGCAGCAGCAGCAGCAGCAGCAGCTGCACATATCCGACCTAATCCTCATTCTCCACATTCCTCCACGTCCCATCCGCCCTCCCACTACTTCCCCCCGACACAAACCTGGCTACGCTTCCTCTACCACTTCCTTTCCACCCCCAAAAGCTGGGAGTTCCTCGCTTTAGTCCTACTCAATACAGGCATATCCCTCCTCATTTTCGCCCCAGGGACCAGCCCTCTCATCGTCTCCCTCCCCTACATGCTCTTCCCGGGGGTCCTCTGGGCAGCGGTTAGATTTAACCGCCACGGGTCGGGCCTCATGCTGCTGCTGGTGGTGCTGATCGCGTGCTGCTGCACGGCCAGAGGGTGGGGGCCGCTGGTGAGGGAGAAGGCGAATGAGACGATTCTGCAGCTGCAGGTGTTTGTGGTGGTGGTGGGCTTGGTGGGAGTGGTGGTGGCGGCGGCTGTGAGGGATACGAATCGGTTGAGGAAGGAGCTTAGGCGGCTGAATGCAAGGTTGGAAGGGGAGGTGCAGCGACGCACGGAGCAGATCAGACAGTACAATGAGGTGAGTGGGATGGGTGGGGTGGGGTGGGGTGGGGTGGGGTGGGTTGGGGTAGCCCATACAGTGAGGGTGGGGGCCGCTGGTGAGGGAGAGGGCGAATGAGACGATACTGCAGCTGCAGGTGTTTGTGGTGGTGGTGGGCTTGGTGGGAGTGGTGGTGGCGGCGGCTGTGAGGGATACGAATCGGCTGAGGAAGGAGCTGCGGCGGTTAAATGCACGGCTGGAAGGGGAGGTGCAGCGACGCACGGAGCAGATCCGGCAGTATAACGAGGTGAGTGGGGTGGGGTGGCTCCTGTGTTGGTTGGGTGTCCTGTGTTGTTGTGACTACAACGAGGTGGGCTGGGTGATCTGTGTAGTGCCAACAACGAGGTGGGCTGGTCAAGATGGCACCTGATTTGCTCTAAAGTCACACACTTCCCCTCTGTATCCGCCATGGTCCCAACATCCTCACTCCCCGCGGCTACTACTGTCCCTATCCATCCCACTTCCGCCATCTTTCTGTCCCCACCTCCCTGCCTCCCCCCCATTTTTCCTCCCTTCCTCATTTTTCCTCCCTCCCTCCCTCCCTCCCTTCCTCCTCCTTCCCTCCCTCCCTCCCTCCCTCCCTCCCTCCCTCCCTCCCTCCCTCCCTCCCTCCCTCCCTCCCTCCCTCCCTCCCTCCCTCCCTCCCTCCCTCTCTCTCCCTCCCCACTGTCTGTTTGTGGCATGGTATCAGGATCTGAAGAAGTCAAAGGAGGAGCTGGAGGAGGCCGGGAGGGCCAAGACGGAGTTCCTGGCCAACATGAGCCACGAGATACGGTAATGTCATCAAGCCACTGAGTTACATTTAGGTTCGCTGGTTTGTCATCCCAGTACCTCTGCTGCTTTTGGAGACGTCTCAAGAGCTGGAGGAGGCCGGGAGGGCCAAGATGGAGTTCCTTGCCAACATGAGCCACGTTATACGGTAACGCGCTGCCTGCCCTACTGCCTGCCCCACTGCCTGCCCTACTGCCTGCCCTACTGCCTGCCCTACTGCTACTGAGTCGCACTTGGATGCAGTAACCCCCTTCTGCTGCTGAGTGGAGAGTGGTTGAATGCGGTAACACCGAATTGCCTGACACTGAGTGATGTCTGGGTTCACATCTTCTCTGCATGCTGTGTGTTGACAGTGATATGAGTACCACATGAGATCAGGTCAGGAGTCAGGACTGGTATATGGAACAGACAGAAGCTTGATTCGCTTTTGAGAACTCTCAAAAACGATGATGACATGAGATTATATCAGGACTGGACTGGTACATGGAACAAAAGGCCTCTGGACTTGCTCAAACGCCTTCCATCTTTCCCTCCTCCTCCCTTCGTTCCCACTCCCCACCCAAAACCTCCCCTGGGCCCCAGCATGCCCATCCACAGCATCATCGGCATGACAGCCCTTGCCGTGGATGCTCGCCTGTATCCTCACCCCACCTCCTCATTCCCCTTCCATTGTCACTTCTCTCTCCCCCTCCCCCCACTCTCCTCTCTCCCCCTCCCCCCCCCCCAACAGCACGCCCATCCACGGCATCATCGGCATGACAGCTCTAGCCATGGACACCCTCGAGTCCCTCCGTGCCATCCCTCTGCCGCCCATACCCCCACCCCATTCCTCCTCCCACTCCGCCTCTGCCGCCGCCGCTGCTGCAGCAGCAGCATTAGCGGAGCGGAGCGATCTAACGGTGGAGGTGCACGAGCATCTGACGGTGGTGGCGCAATCAGCGGATTGCCTGCTGAACATCGCCAACACTGTGCTGGACCTCGCGAGGATAGAAGCGGGGCAGCTGGCTCTGGATAAAGTGCCTTTCAGGCTGAGAGATGTCGTTGGTTCCACCATGCGAATGCTGCAGGTGAGTGGATTCACAGGGACTGTCTGCTGCTGGCAGTGCGCAGTGCTGGTGTGGGTGGAATGATCTGATCTGACGGTGGTGGGGTGGCGCAGTCGGTCGATTGTCTGTTCATTCAACATCGCCAACACTGCTCTGGACCTTGCCAGGATAGAAGCAGCAAGGCAGCTGGCTGGCTTTGTATAAAGTGCCGTCCAGGCTGTGGGACGTGGTGGGGTGGGGTCGACGATGCGCATGGTGCAGGTGAGTCGGCTCAACAAGAAAATGGGATAGATCAACATCTTCCATGGTGGCACACTGTCTGCTGAACATCTCCAACACCGTCCTGGACCTTGCCAGGATAGAGGCACGGCAGCTGGCAGAAGCAGCTGGGCTTCTCATGGCACGCGGCAGAGAAAGTGCCTCTGGGTGCACATGCTTGATAATGCGTTTACATCCCTTCCATTCCTCCGATTCTTCCTGTTCCGCCCTCCCGTGTCTCCCTCCCCCCTCCTCCCCTGCAGGTGCGAGCGGAGCAGAAGCAGCTGGGCTTCTCATGGCACGTGGCAGAGAAAGTGCCTCTAGAGCTCATGGGGGACCCAGGCAGATTACAGCAGTGCCTCATCAACCTGGGTAAGGAACACAATGAATGTTCTGCTCTGCTCTGCTCCTCCCTTGAATCATTCTTTGTAACAGTACATATCTTGAGTTTTTGGGGGGTCTCTCAATCTTGTTTTTCATCTCCCTTCCCCTCCCCATCCCATCCCTGCCCCCCAGTGGGCAGTGCAATCAAGTTTACAGAGACAGGGTCAGTGACCCTCGAGATCTCCCTGCTCTTCCGCAGCAGCATCATTTCTCCAAGTGACGTTTGAGTCGACTCAAAAGTCACCTCATTTCTCCTCACAAACATCCCCATTTCTCCTCACAAACATCCCCATTTCTCCTCACAAACATCCCCATTTCTCCTCATAAACATCCCCATTTCTCCTCACAAACATCCCCATTTCTCCTCACAAACATCCCCATTTCTCCTCACAAACATCCCCATTTCTCCTCACAAACATCCCCATTTCTCCTCACAAACATCCCCATTTCTCCTCACAAACATCCCCATTTCTCCTCACAAACATCCCCATTTCTCCTCCCTCTACTTCTCTCCTCCTCCCCATCCCTTCCTTCCAGTGGGCAACGCAATCAAGTTCACAGAGGCAGGGTCAGTGACCCTCGAGATCTCCCTGCTCTTTCCAGAAGCACCCTTACCCACACTAACATCCCCATTTTCCCTCCCTTCTTTTCCCTTCTCTGCCCGCCAGTGGGCAATGCAATCAAGTTCACAGAAGCAGGGTCGGTGACCCTCGAGATCTCCCTGCTCTTTCCAGAAGCACCCTTACCCGCACTAACATCCCCATTTTCCCTCCCTTCTTTTCCCTTCTCTGCCCGCCAGTGGGCAATGCAATCAAGTTCACAGAAGCAGGGTCGGTTACCCTCGAGATCTCCCTGCTATTCCGCAGCAGCCGGCACCAGCAGCACTGCCAGAAGCAGGGGCAGCGGCGCAAGGACAGGCAGCAGCGCCACCACCGCCGCCACAAGTCCTGTATCTCCAACCTCGACGAGCAACGCCCACGGCAGGGGCAGGCGCAGGCGCAGGCGCAGGCGCAGGCGCAGGGGCAGGGGCAGGGGCAGGAGCAGGGGCAGGGGCAGGGGCAGGGGCAGGGGCAGCAGCAGCAGCGTCACAGCCAGCAGAGAAGGCAACGCAAGGCTGTTCCTCGGTCTCTGACTTGCCCTGCTACCCCCAGCACTCCCGCTGGTGCTGGCGGTGGTGTGGGTTCTCTGGCTGCTGCTGCTGCTGCTGCTGCTGCTGCCGCCCGCCGCCTCAGCAGACGCGCCACGCCGGCCCCAGTCAAGAGAAGGGGTTCTCCTCTCTGCTTCTGATAAGGTTCCTGGAAGTTTCCTCGCATTTCTTGGGAGGTCTTTCACCCGGAGGAGAGGGGAGGGCAAGAGGGAGGAGAGGGGGGGGGAGAGGGAGGAGGAGAGGAGGGGATGGGAGGGAGTAGAAGAGAGAGTGAGGCCAGCATCCAGTGACGCATATACTCGTCATGCTGCTGCTACTGCGCTAGGTGATGTTTATGGCACAGCAGTTCAATCATCGTCACAGCTATCACCATCAGCAGCAGGAGCGACAGCAGCAGCTGCAGCAGCAGCTGCAGCAGCAGCAGGGGCAGCAGGAGAGGCAGATGCTACCGTCCTTAGGTCCACCTGTCCAGACCAAAGCTCTGGCTGGCATTCCGACCCTCCCAGTCGCCCAACCTCCTCCCACCGGTCCACGCTCGGCAGGTCTGGCAGTCGCCGAGCCTCCCTCTTTGGTCCGGGCAAGAGAAGCCGACGTGGCAGCCAGGAGTTGGCTGAGCTGGGAGGTGGGGTAGGGGTATACCAGTGCCTTGGTTACGAGGCTGGTGATTGGTCGGAACCCTGGGCAGGCGGAGAGGGACCCGCAGATAGCGGGGAGGAAACAGCGGAATTGGGAGGGGTTTGGAGGGGTGGGAGGTGGCGGGACAAGAGCTGGGGTCGGGGGTCGAGAAGAGGGGTTGAGGGAGGGGGGGTGGCGAGGAGGGGAAGAGGAAGTGAGGGGGGGTGGATTGTGGGAGTCTATCAGATGGAGAGTCGTTTCCTAGAGAGAGGGGGAGAGAGAGGGGTAGAGACAGGGGTGGAGAGAGGGGTGGAGGGCGGTGTGGAGATGTGGACAGGGATGAGGGGATATGCAGACACACGGATGAGGAGGAGGACTTGCAGGTGCCAGTGTCTCGAACGAGATCCAGTGAGACTCGCAGCAGGCGGGTTGATTTCCTGGATGTGGGGTTGGCAGGCAGCGGCAGGAGCAGCGGCAAATGGAGCGAGGGGGGTCTGAGCAGCCGGAGAGGAGGAGCAGGGTCGCGGGGCGGCAGCGGATTCTTCTTGCGGGCAAGAGAGGAGAGAGAGAGGGAGAGGGAGAGGGAGAGGGATAGTGATGAGGAGTTGGGGTCGCCACAACCACAGAGAGCGTTGGATTTTAGAGACCTAGGGGAAACAGATGGAGCTCAAGGCATGCCGTCGTTTCTAGGTGCCATGATGCACTGCCCCCTTTACCTCTTCCCCTTCCCCCTTTGCTGCCTCGTCCACTCCCCCCGTGCTCTCCCCCATGGCCCGCGCTCTCCCCCCGCCGCAACCCATCCTCTCCCGCCAGTCCATGCCGGCCCTCGCATCCGCTTCCGCACCTGTTTCAGCGCCTGGCTCCGAGCCTCGCTCCGTGCCCGAGCCTGCGCTCGCCCCAGGCTCGGCTCCCGGACCTCTGGTGACGCAACGGAGCAATGTGTCCCAAGCTAGTGACTACTCTTCTGTGGTGGAGCTAAGCCGAAACAGCAGTGCACGGTCTCATGTTAGAGGCCAGGGTTTAGGGTTTAGACCGTCTGAGGCATCGCAAGCTCAAACCCAGTCTTTGCTATATACCGGATATACCCCCCAAGGGAAGGTGTATGCTGGGAACTTTCCAAGTGTACAGCCCTTGATTTATGCACCTGAAGGGACGGTGCTGGACAGGACTGAGAGTGACAACCTGGTGGGGTTGGGTGCAGAGCGGTTGGAGGGGTTTGGGAGGAGTAGGAGTGTGCGGGTGCAGGGGGGCCGGGGGCAGGGAGGAGGGCGGCCGAGAGGTGGGGGGAGGTATTTTTACTCGCAGCAGCACCAGAGGCAGCCTAGGCAGGGTCAAGGGGGAGATAGTGGAGGAGCGGGAGGAGGAGGGGGAGGCGCAGGCGCAGGAAGAGGGGAGGAGGGAGGCAGGGGGAAGCGCGGAACGGGTATTAGTGTGGGAATGAGTCTAAAGAACATGCTGTGGGGGCAGTCTTCTAATGTGAGCACCCAGCGGCTTGATACTAGTGATGATGAGGAGGAGAGGGGTGGAGAAGGGAGGCGACGCGAAGAGAGAGGGGTGGAGGGTCGAGAGGAGGAGGATGAGGAGGAGGAGGAGGAGGAGGAGGAGGAATGAGGGGGGTGGGTCGGTGTGGCTGATGGTGGCGGTGAGGGATACGGGGATTGGTATCAGCCGGGAAAAGCAGGGGGAGATATTCCACAACTTTGTGCAGGCGGACACGTCGAGCACAAGAGTGTATGGCGGCATTGGGCTGGGACTCAGCATTGTGCAGAGGTAAGAGAGAAGGAAGGGAGCTGTGGGAGTGTATGGGCAGACATGGGGGTTGAGAAGCAGGGGGGATTTTCCACAACTTTGTGCAGGCGGACACGTCGAGCACACGTGTGTGTGGCGGCATTGGGCTGGGACTCAGCATTGTGCAGAGGTGAGAGAAGGGAGGCAGGATTTGTAGTCTGAGACGTCTCAAAACAAATCTTCATACAAGAGGAGTTGTAGTCTGGTGCACTGGGTGGGGGGTGAGATCTGGGTGGGGGGTGAGATCTGGGTGGGGGGTGAGATCTGGGTGGAGAGCGAGCTTGCTCAGAGCTCTGCCTTCTTCTTCACGGCTCGCCTCAACCGCGCCCCCCCCGGCTCTGCACCTGTCTTCAGCAGCGGCCTCCCTGCCTCCCTCCTCCCCGCCTCCCTCCTCCCTGCCTCCCTTCTCCCCGCCTCCCTCCTCCCTGCCCCCTCCTCCCCGCCTCCCTCCTCCCCGCCTCCCTCCTCCCCGCCTCCCTCCTCCCCGCCTCCCTCCTCCCCCCGCCTCCCTCCTCCCCGCCTCCCTCCTCCCCGCCTCCCTCCTCCCCGCCTCCCTCCTCCCCGCCTCCCTCCTCCCCGCCTCCCTCCTCCCCGCCTCCCTCCTCCCCGCCTCCCTCCTCCCCGCCTCCCTCCTCCCCGCCTCCCGCCTCCTCCTCCCCGCCTCCCTCCTCCCCGCCTCCCTCCTCCCCCCCCCTCCTCCCCGCCTCCCTCCCCGCCTCCCTCCCTCCCCGCCTCCCTCCTCCCTGACCCTGCCCTGCCCCTGCCTCACAGCTTACTAACGCTCTGCCATCCCCTCACATCTATGCGGCATTCCCTCCCCTCCCCCTTCCCCCTCCCTCCTCTCCAAACCCCCAGTCTGGTGCACATGATGGGGGGCGAGATCTGGGTGGAGAGCGAGCTAGGGCGAGGCTCTGCCTTCTTCTTCACGGCTCGCCTCAACCGCGCCCCCCCCGGCTCTGCTCCTGTCTTCGGCAGCGGCCTCACAGCCTCCCTCCTCCCCGACCCTGTCCCCGCCTCGCCCTCCCATCTCTCCTCCCCCACACGCTCTGTTTCCGCTGCCATTCCTTCCGAGATTCACCACCAGCAGCAGCACCAGCTACAGCACCAGAACAGCCACCAGCAGCAGCAGCAGGAGCAACAGCAGCAGCAGCACCCACACCCACAGCAGCAGCAAATTCAGCAACAGGGTTCCTCTGATCTATCCGGCCCACGGCACCACCATGGGTATCCTTCAGACATGCACGCGGGTATGGCTAGCCTCTGCAGCAACCTACCTCTTGACATCCCTGCCACTCCAGGCTCCAGCCACGGGGGCAGCAGCAGACACCCCTCCTCCCGAGGCGGCCCTGGGGGAGGCTTATCCAGGGTAGGCAGCGGCTCGGGGAGGGCAGACCGGTTGCGAATGGGGAGTTCAGGAGGAACAGGAGGAGCAGGGGGGGCGGGAACAGCGGGTATGGACTATTCTAGTCCGAGAACGCAGCTGATAGGGGCGCTGGGTATGGGTCTTCCTCTTGTGCTTCCAAGCCCTATGGCGTATTCTGGTCCTGGCACACGCAGTGGGAGGTACTCCAACCTTGCTTCCCCTCCCCCTCTGCTGCCCACACCGCCACTGCAGCACCGTTCAGCATGAAATATGCACCGCTCTCCACCCCTTCCCCCCGCTCTGCGGGCATCTGGAGGGATCTAGAACCCTCCCCGCTGTGGTCGAGGCCAGGGAGTAGGGAGGGGCGGGCTAGGGCAACGCGGATGGCGCCTGGGGGGCTTGGAGGGGGGGGTGGAGGAGGGGGAGGAGGGCGCGGAAGCTGGCTGGGGCAGAGTTCGGGAGGGGATTCAGGGTCCGGGGGAGGGGATTCCGGGAGGGCTGGTTCAAGGGGAGGGGATTCGGGTTCGAGAGGCGGGGATACAGGGAGTAGGGGGTCAAGGGGAGGGGATTCGGGTTCGAGAGGCGGGGATACAGGGAGTAGGGGGTCAAGGGGAGGGGAATCAGTGGCAGGGGAACTGGTGGAGGTGACTGTGTCTGGTGTTGCTGGTATGGCCACTGCTGCTGCTGCCGTTGCTGCTGTTGATGCTGCTAATGCTGCTAGTGCCGCTAGTGCTTCTGATGCTGCTGCTGTGACGACGGCGCCAGGAGAAGGAGGCGTAGGAGCACCAACAGCAGCAGCAGCAGCAGCAGCAGCAGCAGCAGCAGCACATGCCGCACGAGTGGCATCAGGTGGGGGGCAGGTAGGAGCAGCAGCAAGGGTGCGCGTGGGAGTGAGAGGAGACGCGCTCAACGCCTCAAATTCCTACAACGGCTCCTCTGGAGCGTCGTCCCCCTCAGATGATGCATTTGACTTCAACATGTTCAGCTCCCAGATGCGCGCCAATGCTGCCCTGCCCTCTCCCTCAGCCGCTGCTGCTGCTGCTGCTGCTGCTGCTGCTGCTCCTGCTGCTGCTGGTGCTGGTGCTGAGTCGCGGTACTACCATTCCATGCCCATCTCCCCCACGCCCATCCGCTCCCACTCCACCTCCGCCATGCCTCGAGCGGTGGCATTGGCACCATTAGCAACAGTGGCACCAGTGGCAGCAGCAGCAGGAGCAGTAGCAGCGCCACGTGCTCTGGCATCTGCATCAGCGGGAGCTTCACCAGCTGCAGCACACTCTGCAGCAGCAGCAGGAGCAGCAGTGTGGTCGTCAGCAGCAGCAGCAGCAGCGACAGTGCCCCCACGGCCACAGTCGCACCATGCCCCGTCTGCATCCACCATCACAGGGATCAGCTTGCTGGACGATTGGGGGTTCATGGCCCCTCCGCCCGTTTCCCATAGCATGCCCACCCTCTTCCCCCTGCCTGCCTCTGCCTCTTTCTCTGCGTCTGGTGCTGCCATTCCATCGACCTGGGTCCTCTTTAGTGCTGCTGCTAACTCACACTCGCACCCGCCGCCGCCGCCGCAGCAGCAGCAGCAGCAGCCGCAGCAAGGGGTGGGGCAGGTGGGTTCCCGCCACAGGGCCAGCAGCAGCTGGTGTCCAGAACAGGGAGCAACGGCGGCTGCTGCTGCTCCTCCCACTGGTTCTGCTATCGGTGTCATTCGAGGGGTGGGTGGCAGTGCAATCGGTGGTGCTGCTGGTGCTGCTGCTGGCGGTATCAGCGGTGCTATGGGCAGCGGGGCCCTGTCCGATCCTTCGCTCTATTCCCAGGTGGCTTCAGGCATTCCGGATCTACTCACCGGGGGTTATTCCCCTCCCTCCAACAACGAATCCTTTTCTTCCTTCCTCACCACCTTCGCCTCTGGCCCAGCCCCTCCTTGCTCTTCTGGTGCACCTAGTTTGTCTGCCGCGCTGCCAGTAGCACAAGCAGCTTCGGCTGTAGCGCCAGCGGTAGCACCTGCTGCTTGTGCTACGGCCCCAGCTGCTCCTGCAGGCTCAGCAGCAGCATCTGAAGGTGCAGAGGCGAACTCAGCCCCTGCTGCTGGTGCCAATGCGGGTGGCCGCGTGTTGGGAAGCGATGCGGTGAGCGGTGGGAGTGGTGGTGCTAGCAGCAGTGCAGGGAAGGCTGGTTCAGGGTCTACTGGCCCGGGTCACTCCCCGCTCACTGCCACAGGAAGCACTGCTCGTGGTACCACTGCTGTCAGCGTTGCTGCCACTGCCACTCCCGCTCCCACCTACTCCACCACCACCCCTGCCAGTAATAACACCAACAACACTGCCAATGCCACCACCACCAACACTATTTCTACTACCACCATAACCACCACCACCACCAACAACACTAACAGTGCTGTCACTTCTACCACCACCAACGCTGCCACTGCCTATGTTCCCAGCCTGGCTTCTCAGCTGCGACCAGTCACACCAGGCCACGTGGACCTCCCCTCTCTCGCGTCAGGCCAATCACGGCAGCACACGTCAGTCACAGCCGGCCGTCTGCACAGCGTGCGGAGCGAGGAGCAGGGGCGGATTGCATACGAGGCCTCTCAGGTTTACGGCGGGAGGAGAGAAGGACTCTTGTATGGTGTGAGGGGCGATGGGGAGATTCAAGGTGTGAGGAGCGAGGAGCGAGGTGGGGGGGGCAGTGTTGATGTTTCGGCATTGAATGTTGTGAAGAGCGAGGGAGGGCAGGTTGAACGGACACTGGACCGAATCCGGCACAGGCAGCAGCAGCAGCAGCAGTACCAGCGCCATCACCACCAGCAGCAGCAGCAGCAACTAGCACAAGACGCTTACTCCACACCACAGCAGCAGCAGGAGAAGCAGCAGCGGCTGCTGCAGCAGCTGGAGCTGAGAAGCCAAGTGTCAGCACAGTTCTACCAGCCACCCCCGCCGCACCTGCACGCGCTCTGGCCGCTCCCCTCACGCCGCCTTGAGCACCGAAGCTCCGACCCAGGCTTGGTGGCGAGGCACCTGGCAGCTCTGGAGTCCGCCGTGGCTAGCTCTTGGCCCGGGAAAGAGGCTGGGGAAGGGAAGCAAGCAGCAAAGCCTGTAAGTGTTGTTGACTTAGCAAACACAGCTTGTTTGTGGGGGACTTAACGCTTGCATCTCGTTCATGCTAACCCTAGCACTTGCAGATGCACGCAGTGCTGATGTGTGTGTGTGTGTGTGTGTGTGTGTGTGTGTGTGTGTGTGTGTGTGTGTGTGTGTGTGTGTGTGTGTGCGCGTGTGTGTGTGTGTGCGTGTGCGTGTGCGTGTGCGTGCGCGTGCGCGTGCGCGCGCGTGCGCGTGCGCGTGTGTCTGTCTGTCTGTCTGTCTGTCTGTCTGTCTGTCTGTCTGTCTGTCTGTCTGTCTGTCTGTCTGTCTGTCTGTCTGTCTGTCTGTCTGTCTGTCTGTCTGTCTGTCTGTCTGTCTGTCTGTCTGTCTGTCTCTGTCTGTCTCTGTCTGTCTCTGTCTGTCTCTGTCTGTCTCTGTCTGTCTCTGTCTGTCTCTGTCTGTCTCTGTCTGTGTCTGTCTGTGTCTGTCTGTGTCTGTCTGTGTCTGTCTGTGTCTGTCTGTGTCTGTCTGTGTCTGTCTGTGTCTGTCTGTGTCTGTCTGTGTCTGTCTGTGTCTGTGTCTGTGTCTGTGTCTGTGTGTGTGTGTGTGTGTGTGTGTGTGAGTGTGTGTGTGTGTGTGTGTGCGTGTGCGTGCGTGCGTGCGTGCGTGCGTGCGTGCGTGCGTGCGTGCGTGCGTGTGTGTGTGTGTGTGCTATGTATGCCGGTGTGTTGAGCCGGTGTGTTGTGCCGTGCCGGTGTGTTAATGCACTGACCCCTAGTTCCCAACGCTTCTCGTGATTGAAGAAGTGTTCTGAGACTTCTCAAAACACTTCTTCAATCGTGTGTTAATGCACTGACCCCTAGCTCCCAACGCTTCTCCACCCCATTTTCTGCGTCTTCTGTCGGGTATTTTTGAGAATTCTCAAAAATACCCTGCAGCATCTTCTGTCACTCTCACCACCACCTTCTTGCCATTCGGGAATCACGTTTGAGAATTCTCAAAACTGTCGTACTCACCACCACCTTCTTGCCCCCCTCGTCTTGTTCCATTCCACTTCTCCCACTCCCACCCATTACAGGCACTCCATTCCTCTGCCTCTGCTTCCCTCAACCCGCCCCACAAGCGCCAACGCCCACTCCTCACCGCCACCTCCCTGCCCCACCCTGCCTCCCTCGCCTCTCGCTCCTTCACCTCTGCTGCTGCTGCTGCTGCTGCTGCTGCTGCTGCTGGCGGCGGTGCTGATTCAGGTGGATTCTCAGGTGCTGGTTCAAGTGGGAAGCTCGCCCGAACAGGGTCTGGTGCCGGTGCTGGTGTCAGTGTTGCCACTAGCGCTGGTGCTAATGTCGCAGCTAGTGCCACATCGGCCATGGGGAGAGATCCAGCTTCTGCACTGCCCGGGGGAAAGAAGCAGCATCTGCAGCAACAGCAGCATCTGCAGCAGCAGCAGCCGCAGTTCCAGTTGCTCTCGTCCCACCCTCCCTCCTCCACCACCGTTCCCTCTGCTGCCTCCAACCCTTACTTCTCCTTCAGCAGCAAAATCCTACGCACCTCGCCCTCCCACTCCTACTCCTCTGCTGCTGTTGCTGCTCCCTCTGCTGCTCCTCCTACTGCCCTCTCTTCTGGCCTTCCCCCTCACCCCCAATCGGCTCTCATGCGCACACGCTCTGACCCCTCCCAACTCCTCGGTATCCCCAAAAAAACTCGTGACAGGAGCCCGGTTCGGCCCGAACCTGTGCTTCGGTCCGGACCTGGACCTGCAGGTCCTGGGCCTGCATCAGGCCCGGAGACGGGTCGGGTAGCCGGTAATTATGCGTCTGGTTCGAGCACAGGTTTGCAGACAGATTCGGAAAGCAGGCCCGGGCTGAGCTACGGGAGCAGGTCTGCCTCGGTGTTGGTTCCAGGTCCGGTGCTGGGCGGCATGAGCTTCGGTAGCCGGTCGGCATCTGGTGCGGTACTTTCTAGGAAGCTGAGCCGAGTGAGGGAAGGGGAGAGGGAGGGGGAAGGGTCGCAGAGGGAAAGGGAAGGGGATGGGATTGTGGAAAAAATGGAGGAAGGGGAAGAGGGAGGGGAAGGGGAAGGAGGAATGGTTGTGGGAGGGAAGGAGGAAGGGAAAGGGGACGAGAAACAGCAGCAGAGACAGCAACAGCAGGGGCAGCAGCAGGAGGAGCAGCAGGGCCAGCAGGGGTGGGAGAAGCAGCAAGAGGAGCAGCGGGAGGAGCAGCGGGAGGAGCAGCGGGAGGAGCAGCGGGAGGAGCAGCGGGAGGAGCAGCAGGAGGAGCAGCAGTCATCAGAGGCAGATTCCAGTCCCTGGAACATCTTACTGTCGCCAATGGACCCCAACCACACACCCCATCCCTTCCCCTCTCTCCCTCCCGCCCTCCTCTCCCACCCCCCGGCCCCCCACACCCTAACCCGTCCGACCCTCCCTTCGCCTCTGGCTCTGCCCCTTGTCTCCCAGCAATGCCTCTCCTCCCCTCCCTTTGTCTCTGGTGCTTCGGATTCCACACATTCTGATGCTTTCAAGCTCTCTTCTGGTGGTGCTACAGCCACCCAGCGTCCAGCTTCTATGTCTGCTGCTGCTGCTGCTGCTGCTGCTGCTGCTTCTGGTGCTGCTGCCGCTGGCGCTTCTGGCATCACTGCATCGGCTGCTGCTCCTACAGCGGCAGCTGCACCTAAAAGAATGGAGGCAGAGGATGGGTCAGATCCCCTATCAGGGCCCCTAACAGAACCCTTTTCAGGGCCCCTATCAGGTCCCCCATCAGGGCCCCTCGACGAGGTGCATCGACAAGACAAGGCCGGAAAAGTGGGTGGGAGGAGCAGGAGGATCAGCGGCGGCAGCAGCAGCAGCGGCGGCAGGCAGTGGAATGACGGGTTACAGTGGCCCCTGGATTGGCTCCTCTCGTGTCCTTGAACCATCACACACGCTCGAATCCTCATGTACTATTGATTCCTCCCAAACTATTGGCTCGGACCCTTGGACCCCCACAACTGCCGATGGCTCTACATCCTTCTTCCACTCGTTCGCTACCTCCTCCACGTCCACCACCCCCACTGCGCTCACCCCTGTTGATGGCACCACCCCCACCACCACCGCTGCCAACACCCCTGTTGAGGGAGTCACTCCTACCACGCCTGCCAGCAGCACCGCTTTCAACCGAGCTCAAAAGTCCCCCACCACCCCTGGTGCGTCTGAGAAGGATTCTCCAGTTGCTGTTGCTGTGAGCAGGCCTATCAGCAGGGGAGGTAAGAGTGGGCAAGGGATCAGCAGCAGCGGCAGCTTCAGCAGCAGCAGAAGCAGCTTTGAGGCGCCTCAGAAAAGTTCTATGAGCGCTGCTGAGAGTGGAAATGCAGGGGGGAGTAGGAGCAGCAGGAGCAGCTTTGAGTCCCCTCGGAAGAGCTATATGAGCTCGGCTTTGAGTGGAAATGGGGGAGGCAGTAAGAGCAGCAGGAGCAGTCGCAGCAGCGTGAGCCTGTCAGAGAATAGGCTTGGGCAGGGCAGTGGGGATGGTAGTGCTGCTGCTGGCTCTGGTGGTGAGGATAAACACAGCAGCTCAGAGCAGCAGGGAGGGGAGAGGCAGCACAAGAAGCATCACCATCTCCACCGCCATCATCACCACCTTGAGGGGCAACATGAGCAGCAGCAGGCAGTGGGCAGCTCTGTAGGTGTGGATAGGAGCGGCGGCAACCGACATGGCAGCAGCAGCAGCAGCAGCATCAGCATCAGCAGCACCCAAGAAAGAGCAGGAGGAGCAGCAGCAGCCGCAGTAGGTGCAGGAGCAGGAGCAGCAGGAGGTGCAGTAGCAACACGGAACAAGAGCGGGCCTCTAGCCATGCTGTCTGGGGTGCGCATATTGTTAGCAGAGGACAACCTGGTGAACCAGCGAGTGGCCACACACGCCCTCTCCAAGCAGGGCGCGCGTGTCGAGGTGGTGGGCAACGGGCAGCTTGCACTCACTGCCATGGAGGAACGGGCGGGGTCTTTCGACCTCATTCTCATGGACATTCAGGTGGGTTGTCTTGAACCGATGTCGTCGTTAATTTTATCAGACCAAACCCTAACCCAGGTGTTAGAACAAGTGGCTGGAGGAAAATCTCTTCCCTCCCTCCCCACCCCTTCCTCCTTCTCCTTTTGGTGATCATAAAAGCGTGAGGGGAAAGCGGTTGCATCTTTGGAAATTATGACGGCATGCATAACATAACAGTGAGAAAGAATGGAAAATTACTAGGGCAAACATAACAGTGAGAAGGAAGGGGGGCTGGGCTGGTTGGTTACTTGACCAACTTCATCGCCCCCCGCCCATAACCTGGCTGGGAGATTTTTGGGGGGTCTCAATCGTTGGTCGAAGTGAGGTGACTTTTGAGTCGACTCAAAAGTCACCTCGAGATTTTTGGGGGGTCTCAATAATCCTCCTAACTGAATAATCTTGGTCGAAGTGAGGCAAATGGTTGGGCCCATTAATCTCCTGATAATCACTGGGCTGTTGGGGCTACAATCTCCTTTCCCTCGACTCATCCCCCTCCCCAACTTTTATTTCCGTCTGACAAACGCTAACACCCTTCCTTTCAATTCCGCGTTTCTGTTATTCAAGTGATGCCGGTGATGGATAGGCTGGAGGCCACTCGCCGCATTCTTGGACCTCTTAAAATATCCTTCTAACTCTAACTCTCGCCGCATCCCTCACCCTCCTCCCCCCCCCCCTCCCCTTTTCCAATCGACCTCTAACTTATTCAACCCTATTCCAGATGCCTGTCATGGATGGGCTGGAGGCCACTCGCCGCATCCGCCAGCTGGAAGCTTCCAGGCGTCGCCTGTCGGGTGGCAAAGCAGCACGACAGCACAAGTACTCGCAGCACGGGCAGAAGGAGGGGAAAGAGGAGGGAGGGGGAGGGGGAGGGGGAGAGGGAGGGGCCGGTAGAGGGGGAGGGGGAGAGGGTAGGAGGATAGGGATAGTGGGTTTGACGGCGCATGCAATGGCTGGTTACAAGGAGCAGTGCTTTGAAGCGGGTATGGATGGGTATGCGACTAAACCCTTCAAGATTGAGCTGCTGGTGCGGGCAATAAAAGCCGTGATGGGAGGAGCGGTGAACGTGGATGGCACTAAATAAGGAAACGGGGAATGAATGTGGATGGCACTTAGACGGGAAACTAATGTGGAATTGCAGAGTGTACAATGGGGGGGGGGGGAGGGGACTGACTGACTGACCTGACTACTCGCTGTGTAAAATGCTGCTGCTAACATTATTGACACTGCTCACATATGAAAGGCAACAGTTGTTGTAACATACCGTACCGGTAAGTAAGTACGTGTACGATTTTCATGCTACGAGCTAATTGTGGCATTGACGTTGGGTGATGTGATTAGGTGCCCCTAACGAGTTGTCGTTGAAATCCCGAAATTCATTTTGGACCTGAATATCATCGTCCGTTCTTATTTTGTAAGGTTATATGGCTGGCATCAGCAGAGCATGGGCTGGAATCCTGAGCGTAGGTTTAAATGTTTATGGGGATTGCTCGGAGGCAGTTCCTTGGTCTGCGCGCTATTGAAGCTGCCTGCAGCGCATACGGAAGTGACCGAGATTAGGGCACGTCTCCTCCCTCGATGGATCGTGCAAAATCGAGGAGCTCAATCCTACCCGTACTAAACTCCCGCGTTTTCTGTTTTCGACTTTTTGAACCTTTCTGAACCGAGCGCAGGTTCGACAGAGGGAGGGGACGCGCCCTCGGGGCATGTAATGCCGAAAGTCGGGGACGTCGTCCGGTTGTGAAGCGACTCATGCGACGTCGGGCGGAGTCAGTGCAATGCTTACGACGTCGTCAATTTTTTGACGAACCAGTTGACGAGATTTTACAACTTTGGTAACTAGACGGCTGGCCCCTGGTTCCCAACCGACATCAGCAGTCTGCGTTTGTGACACATCTTCGTCTACACTGAGGGGGATTCACATTAACAATGAACTGTTATTCTTAAAATTTATTAGCCTCTTCTGTTGAGCTGTAAAGCAAAAAGGCTCACTATCACAACAAGCATACAAACACAACTCAAGCGGAAAGAATTACAGAGACAAGGCATGAATGCGCTCCTAAAAATGCCAATGGCCACTTACTTGATGCTCCATGCAGCAGTGCTAACCAACGAGGGGACGAGGCGAGGCGAGGTAAGATAAAGGGACACTAGGCAAACACCTCTCATATTTCATGCTTCCACGGGACAGGGTGAGGACGAGAGGGCATGAGCTACAGCAGAGAGAGAAGCAGAGGAGTCCAGCCGACCATCCCCTGCAGCAGCAGCAGCGGCCACAGCAGCAGCCAGACCCATCCCACTGCGACCACCAGGGGAGCCGGCTTATTGCTGCGCTGGCGAGGAGTAGACGCCAGACACAGGGGAGGCGAGCATGAGGCAAGCAATTTCATGCTTCCACGGGACGGGGTGAGGAAGAGAGGGCATGAGCCACAGCGGAGAGCGAGGCAGAGGAGTCCAGTCGGCCATCCCCTGCTGCAGCAGCTGCCACAGCAGCAGCCAGACCCATCCCACTGCGCACCACCAGGGGAGCTGGCTTGCTGCTGCGCTGCACACCAGACCTTTGCCTCCTCAGCCCTACTCCTCCCTGCTGCTGCTGCTGCTGCTGCTGCTGCTGCTGCTGCTGCTGTTGTCGGCGTGTATGGCACGCTGCTTTTGATGGAGGTCTGGATTGAAAGGAAGCTGAACCAAATGAGAGATCCTCTGTCTCACCCTGTTGATGCTCATAGGCATTGCCAAAATAGACCTCACCACCGTGCTGAGAGGAGCAGCTGTTGCTGTGCGTGCCACTGCTCAAACCGTCCAAGGGTGGCTGAGGGAGAGCTGCAGCTGCGGCAACCAGCATACCATTTGCCCCGTTCGCCCCATACCTGCTGTCAAAGAATGGCTGAGAGGGAGATCCGGAGGAGGCGGCAGCAGCAGCAGCAGCAGCAGCAGCAACAGCAGTTGCCCCTCCTCCTCTACCGTTTTTTGGCACCCCTCGGCCTCGGAACGTGGGCGTTTCGCACTCCCTGCCAACCATGAACGGCCCCGAGTGAGGCGCAGGCAGCACTAGCGACCCGCTGCTGCTGTTGCTCGAGTCCTCCAGGTGAGGCGAAGCGTGTGGCGACGGGTGTGATGGAGGGTGCGGCGAAGCGTGTGGCGACGGGTGTGATGGAGGGTGAGGTGAAGCGTGTGGCGACGGGTGTGATGGGGGGAACGTGGGGCGGTTAGGAGGATGACTGTGGCGGCATGATGAATAGGGGGAGGGGGATGATGTGAAGGCAGCGCTGTGTGCTCGTGACTTGTGCAGCATGTTGACCATTGATGGGGTCTGATGGTTGGGAAGAGATTGGAAGGGGTACAAAGGGGTACAAGGGGGATGGGAAACAGTGTAAAGGAGAATGGACCACAAGACGGACGAGACGAAGGTTGAAACACCAAGTGGAAAACGCACCCAAGGCGCTAGGGAGGGTAAGTTGGAGGGTTGGTTTGTGACGTCCTAGGATTTAGAATTACCCTGAAAAACGCAGAAGATTTAGAATAACGAGCAGAAGAATAACGAGCCTGTTACCATGTAGTCGAGGCCAGCAGTGCTGTCTCCTGCCGCCCCTCCACCCCTCGTGTTGGCTCGTTGCAGCAGATGAGCTGACTGCGCTGAGAGTGCATAGGCCAGGCCTGCTCCCTTGTATGTCTGTGGAGGGTGGGAGAGGGAGCAGGGAGAGAGAAATTAGTGAGGAGATGTTAGAGTGTCAGTGGTGGCATGAATGTGTTGGCTCGCTGCAGCAGATGAGCTGACGAAGCTGAGAGTGCATATGCCAGACCTGCTCCCTTGCACGTTATGGTTACACTGAGAGAAAGGGCTGCAGCACATATGTAGCCCCTAACACATGTAAGGCACACTCCCACTCACCTGCATGTTGCACATGCGTCTCTCTATTTCCATGAGCTCATCAATCAAGAGCCTTGACGCCTCATCCCCTTGCTGCACACAGCGCGGTGCACTCACATGCAACACACAGTCCCCCTCACATGCAACACACAGTCCCCCTCACGTGCAGCACACACTCCCCCTCACGTGCAGCACACACTCCCCCTCACATGCAGCACACACTCCCCCTCACGTGCAGCACACACTCCCCCTCACGTGCAACACACAGTCCCCCTCACGTGCAACACACAGTCCCCCTCACGTGCAACACACAGTCCCCCTCAGGTGCAGCACACAGTCCCCCTCAGGTGAAGCACACAGTCCCCCTCACGTGCAACACACAGTCCCCCTCACCTGCATGTTGCACATGCGTCTTTCGATCTCCATGAGCTCGTCTATCAAGTGCCTTGACGCCTCGTCCCCTTGCTGCACGCGGGATTGCACGGAAGAGAAGAGAGGAACGAGGTGGGGAGAGGCGAGACAGCGGGACAGGCAAGAGAGGCGCGACAGAGGGGAAGGTTGTTGTGCAAGGTACAGACGAGGAGGATGAAGCATTTACATTGCTCCGAAATCAAAATTGCAAAGAAACGAATGCAAGCGAGGCGAAACAAACACAACAAAAAAAGGGGGGAAGGGGAGGGAAGAGAGGGGGATGTGGGGGGGGGGGGGGGGGGAAGGGAAGGGAAGGGGAGGGGGAGGGTTGGATGAGGGGGTAGAAAAAAATCGAACAAATTCTCGGGCGGCATACCTGCATGGCATAGGACGCTTGGATGGCTGCCACGCCCTGCTGTATGGTGCGCTGTGCTGCTGCCAAGCTGCCCGCCTCTGCCTGCTGCAACGCCTGGAGTAGAGGAAGACGCAGGGATGGGAAGATGGGCACAGCAGAGATGGGGAGAGCAGAGATGGGCACAGCAGAGATGGGGAGAGCAGAGATGGGCACAGCAGAGATGGGGAGAGCAGAGATGGGCATAGCAGAGATGGGGAGAGCAGAGATGGGCACAGCAGAGATGGGGAGAGCAGAGATGGGCACAGCAGAGATGGGGAGAGCAGAGATGGGCACAGCAGAGATGGGGAGAGCAGAGATGGGCACAGCAGAGATGGGGAGAGCAGAGATGGGCACAGCAGAGATGGGCACAGCAGAGATGGGCACAGCAGAGATGGGGAGAGCAGAGATGGGGAGAGCAGAGATGGGCACAGCAGAGATGGGCACAGCAGAGATGGGCACAGCAGAGATGGGCACAGCAGAGATGGGGACAGCAGAGATGGGGACAGCAGAGATGGGCACAGCAGAGATGGGCACAGCAGAGATGGGCACAGCAGAGATGGGCACAGCAGAGATGGGCACAGCAGAGATGGGCACAGCAGAGATGGGCACAGCAGAGATGGGGACAGCAGAGATGGGGACAGCAGAGATGGGCACAGCAGAGATGGGGACAGCAGACATGGGGACAGCAGAGATGGGCACAGCAGAGATGGGCACAGCAGAGATGGGCACAGCAGAGATGGGCACAGCAGAGATGGGCACAGCAGAGATGGGGACAGCAGAGATGGGCACAGCAGAGATGGGCACAGCAGAGATGGGCACAGCAGAGATGGGCACAGCAGAGATGGGCACAGCAGAGATGGGCACAGCAGAGATGGGCACAGCAGAGATGGGCACAGCAGAGATGGGCACAGCAGAGATGGGCACAGCAGAGATGGGGACAGCAGAGATTGTCACAGCAGAGATGGGCACAGCAGAGATGGGCACAGCAGAGATGGGCACAGCAGAGATGGGCACAGCAGAGATGGGCACAGCAGAGATGGGCACAGCAGAGATGGGCACAGCAGAGATGGGCACAGCAGAGATGGGCACAGCAGAGATGGGGACAGCAGAGATGGGCACAGCAGAGATGGGCACAGCAGAGATGGGCACAGCAGAGATGGGCACAGCAGAGATGGGCACAGCAGAGATGGGGACAGCAGAGATGGGGACAGCAGAGATGGGCACAGCAGAGATGGGCACAGCAGAGATGGGCACAGCAGAGATGGGCACAGCAGAGATGGGCACAGCAGATATGGGCACAGCAGAGATGGGGACAGCAGAGATGGGCACAGCAGAGATGGGCACAGCAGAGATGGGCACAGCAGAGATGGGCACAGCAGAGATGGGCACAGCAGAGATGGGCACAGCAGAGATGGGGACAGCAGAGATGGGCACAGCAGAGATGGGCACAGCAGAGATGGGCACAGCAGAGATGGGCACAGCAGAGATGGGCACAGCAGATATGGGCACAGCAGAGATGGGCACAGCAGAGATGGGGACAGCAGAGATGGGGACAGTGGGGACAGAAGGAGTGAGGAGGGGATATGGAACTAGACCGATGATTGAGTGAAATGAGTGAGCGGCCGAGTGTGTGAGTGACCGAGTGTGTGAGTGCGAGAGCGAGTGAGTGAGTGAGAGCGCACCGCAGTGATGCATTTGGTGGCAGCAAGTCGGTTCTTCTGTCGCTCCAGAGCAAAGGGCGGGGGTGCCTTCTTCCTCCTCCGCCTGCCACCCGCGCCCAACCTTCCCGACTCCACAGCCCCAGAGACGGGTGGTGATGCACCGTGGGACGCTCCTCCCCCTGCAAGCCTGCTACTGGCCTGCCTGCTGCTTCCCTGCGCGCCACTATCCCACCCGCCTGCTGCTGCGAGCGCCGCCGCAAAGCTATCATACCCGCTGCTGTGCGGCCCATACTCCCCCTCCTCCTTCCCATGCGCATAGCCCCTCTGCTGCTCCTCATACCACTCCCCGTCGCCACCTTCCTCCCACATGCGCCCTTCCTCCTCCCACCCCTCCTCCACCTCCTCTCCCTCCTCGTCCTCCTCCTCCTCCGCCGCCCGCGTTACAGCCAGTTCTACCAGTGGGGTGCGGTGGGTGTCCTGGAAGAGCGGGCGGCATCTGTAGCTGCACCGCGCCCTCAGAATGCGAAACATTTCGCGCTGTGCAGCTCCTGATGTGTCCCTGGCTCGGGATTCGTCCTGCGGGATAAAGGGGAGGAGATACGGGAGGGCGAGGTGCGTGTGTGAGCCAACATGTGTAGCACCTCAAATACACTCGGTCCCCCAGTTCCTCCTCCGCCTGCGCTGCAGCCAGCTCCACCAGTTGTGTGCGATGGGTGTCCTGGAAGAGCGGGCGGCATCTGCAGCTGCACCGCGCACGCAGAATGCGACACATGTCGCGCTGCGCTGCTGCTGCTGCTTCTGACGTGTCCCTGGCTCGGGATTCATCCTGTGGGAAAAAATGGGAAGGAGATATGGGAGAGGGAGGTGCGTGTGTGAGCCAAGATGTGTCAGGACGTACTAAGACAAAAAAGATGGGAAAAAACAAAACAAAACAAAACAAAACAAATAAATACATTAAAAAAAAGGGAAAAAAAAGGGTAAATGGACAATATGCATGAAGAGTAATAGCACAGAAAAAACAGCATTGCTAAATAAATGACAGCTTTGTCTTAACCCTGCCCTTATCCACCAATTACGCACCTCCACGTGTCGTCTGCGCCACACCTCCAGCATCACATGCCGCTCCTCCTCCGCGTACAAATCCCCCAGCAGCACAGCCCCGTCCCTCTCCTTCTCCCCCACCCTATATGCATACCCCCCCGCATGTACTGCCGCAATCTGCCACCCGGGGAGATCTGATCCCACGGCGAACGAGATCTTGGCCTCTTGGATAACGACAGACAGCAGGCCGCCCAGGCACTGCGCAAAGGCGGCGGTCACGCCGGCCGGCTCCTCGACGAATGAGAAGACGCCAGCTGTGTCGGCGGCTATGGCGTGCAGGGCAGCAGCGTCGTGGTCGGCACCAAAGCCAAAGGTGTGCACGGGGACTAAGCGACGGGAGGAGGAGGAAGAATCTTGAGAAGAGGAGGAGGTTTTGTTGCGGGTCATCTGACTGGGGAGTAGGCGGCTGTAAGTTTGCTTGGGGTGGTTGAGAGAGCTGCAGGGGAAGAGGTGACGAATAATGAAGGAGACGGAAGGGATGACGGATAAAGAATTAGAGATGGGATAAATAGAGGGAGAATAAACAGTGACCGAAAAAAAAAAAAAAAAAAAAAAAAAAAAACACACACACACACACACCACACACACAGATGCACGAGAACGAGCAACACATATAGCTTCTGCCAGAGCCGGCATCCTAATCCTTCTCACTTGTATCCGAACGTCACATCTGCACCCAAACCCACCACCCTCACCTGTATCCGAACCCCTTCTGGCTGCACGTGGCAGTGTCCTGCCCATCACTCAGCAGCATGATACTCGCCACCGGATTCCTCTCCCTCCTCTCCTCCACCACTCTCAACGCCTTCAACATCCCCTGGGCAATGTTCGTCCCTCCCCCCGCCACCATCCCCCGCACCTTCCCCTCCGCCTCCTGCCGCCCCGCCTTCGTCATCCTTCTAAGCGGCGTTACCCGGTGTGCTTGTGACGAGAATGTGATTATAGAGAGGCGGTCGTGGGGGCCTAGTTGGGAGATGAGGAACAGCATGGCCTGCTGCAGCAGCTGCAGCTTCGGCCCGTGCATGCTCCCGCTAAGGTCCAAAAGTGTGACTAAATCGATGGGCACTCTAGAGGAGTGGTCGGCAGGAGTGGTAGTAGTAGTAGTGGTAGTGGTGCCATCGGTGGTTGCAGGGGTGGGGAGGGGTGAGCCCTGGTGGTGCTCGGTTGGAGGAGAGGCAGGAGTGGCAGGGTGAGTAGAAGGGGGGTCGAGAGGAGGGGCTTTAAGAGTGAGCAGCACGGTGTAACATTCGGAAACTTCCATGAAAGGGGGAGGCACGCGCTCCGCGCACACAGACAGCTGGACAGGGAACAATACGTTTTCTGAGGCAGGCGCTTTCTGGTGGGGCTGGGCGGAGGGGGAGGAGGAGGAGGAGGGAGGAGCAGAAGGTTGGGGGTCGGTTATTGCCGGAGGTGGGGCATCACCGGTAACGGCGGCTGAAATAGTGCTGGTAGCAGCAGAAGACCCTGCACTTGGTGCAGTGGTAGCAGCAGTCGCCACAGTCTCTTGCACAGCAGCACTGACCCCTTCAGATGCATTAGCCGCATCAGCAGCAGTAGGAGCAGCAGAGGCAGCAGCATCAGCAGCACCAGCGGCAGCATCTGCTCGCACATTCTCCCCTTCCTCGATACTTTTCTCCGCTTGCTCGGTTGCCCCTGCTCTCTCTCCTGGTTGTTCCTCTCCCACAACCGCTGCTGCCTCGTAGTCTGCTGGTTCTGGCGCAGCAGCAGCAGCTGAAAAGTCTGTAGCAGCAGCTGGTGGTGCGGACTCCGTTGCAATACCAGGAAGCTCGCTTCCACCTGCTGCACCTAGCCCGGCTGTAGCGCTGCTGCTCTCAGGCCGGTCAGCCTCAGCTGTAGCAGTAACAGTAGCAGCAGCAGGAGCAGCAGCAGGAGCAGCAGCAGGAGCAGCAGCAGGAGCAGCAGCAGAGGCAGGGGCAGAGGCAGAGGCGGAAGCAGTAATAGAGGCAGAGGAAGAGGTTGGGGTGAGCAGCTCTGGACTTGGTTCAGCCGCAGATTCAGCAGCAGACTCAACAGCGTAGAGTCGCGAGAGAGCGCGTGGTGGGGCACCGGCTACCGAACCAGCAGCAGGAGCAAGAGCAGCAGACACGGCATTACCTGTGGCATCGCCATTAACAGCATTACCACCAGCAGTAGCAGTGGGAGGAGCGATGGCAGAGGTGCCAGGGGCAGCAGCAGGAGGGCTGTTGAGGCTCTGATCATCATTGTACACTCGAGGAGAATCATCCGCCCCTACTTGCGCTTGCGCCTGTCCCTGTCCCTGTCCCTGTCCCTGTTCTTGTGCCTGTGTCAGTGCTTGTCCTTGACCCTGCCCCTGTGTCGGTCCCTGTGCCTGCTGACCTGGCAGCAGCATCTGCCGTCGAACTGGATGGATGGCAGCGAGAGGCTGCAGGCTGCCACGTGTCAGAGGAGCATAGGCTGGGCCGGTCCTTCCTCCCCTTGCCTCCCCAGCCTCTTCAACAGCCACGCTTGTTGGTAGCGGCACAGCATGACTGGCAGTAGGGGGCGTGGGAAGGCTGGAAGCCGTTCGAAGGCCGCCACTGCTGCCGCTGATTCTGCCGCTGGTGTTGGCAGCGTTAGTACCAGAGGCAATGAAACCAGAAGCAGAAGTACCAGCACCAGCACCGGCACCAGCAGCAGCAGCAGCATCAGCAGCACCGCTGGTGCTTTTGGAGCGGGGGAAGGCACCAGCGGCTTTGGAGCGCCCTAAAGTGAGCTCATGCGCCACACTAGACGCTTGTCTCAGCAGACTCTGCTGCTGCTGTGGTGGTTGCTGTGGTTGCGTTGACAGACTGCTGCTGCTTCCCGGGATCAGCTCACCGTACGTGGCTCTTGGAGCATCTGCTGCACCTACTGCTGCTGCGACGTCTGCCGCAGCCGCTCCGTGCCGCCCGCCCATCCACTCCTGCAGGGACGTCGTGCTGTCAGGGTCCTCGCATGACGTGGCAGCAGCTGACGTGGCAGGGAGCCATGGCAACAGCGCTGCTGCTGATGCTCCTGCTCCTCCACCTTCTGCTCCTGCTCCTCCACCTCCTGCTCCTGCTGCTGCTCCTGCTGCTGCTGCTGTTCGCGCCACTGGCTGGACTCTAATAGGCGCTGCTCCCACTGTTCCTGGCAGCTGTAAAGCTGTGCCTGTGGGTGGTGCGAACACAGCTGCTGCCGATGCTGTGGGTGCGGCAGGTACGACCTCTGCAGGAGCAGATGAGGAAGCAGCAACAGCACTTGGTGGCGCTGAAACCAGCTGGTGCAACTGTGATACTCCCCCTCCCCCTCCTCCTCCCCCTCCTCCTCCCGCTCCTCCTCCCGCTCCCCCTCCTCCCCCTCCTCCTCCCGCTCCCCCTCCTCCCCCGGCCCTGCTCCTCCTCAGCGCCGCCCAGGCCTTGGACTGGGCGGCAGCAGCCGCCGCCCGAATCTCCCCGGAATCGTACGTGCCGCTTGTGTCTGGACTCCCAGGTCCGTCCTCTGTGTACGGATTCGCTACAGGGGGGAGGTACAGCTGGACAGGCACAACTGCCGCTGCTGCTGCTGTTGCTGCTGCTGCAGGAGTGGTAGCAGCAGCTGCTGCAGCGGTGGCGCCAGCTGCAGAGAGGACAGCAGAAATGCGGTGCTCTGGAAAAGGGAGGATACTGGGTGAGCCACGTGGGGAGTGTGCGAGAAGCAAGTCAGAGGGTGAAGAGGAGCGGGTGCGAGAGTGGCGTGAGGAGGAAGAGGAGGAGGAGGGGGAGGTGAGGGTGGTGATGCTAGGAGTGACAGTGGTGGTAGAGGAGGAACCAGAAGAGGAGAAAGCAGAGTTGAAACCCCCAGCAGCAGCCGCAGCAGCACCAGCAGCAGCAGAACCCACAGCAGCTGAAGCAGGGGACGCAGCAAGGGCAGCAGCAGCAGAGGCAGCAGCTGGGGCAGGGGCAGGGGCAGGGGCAGCAGGGGGAGGCGCGGCTAGGGGAGGGCCCATCCAGGGGACCTCGTGCCAGCGCTTGCGGCAGAGGGGGCAGGCTGAGTGGCCGTGGCGCACGTTGGCGGTGATGCAGTGGAAGTGGAATGTGTGCCCACACTCCGCGGTAAAAAGAGCATGGCCTCTCCCTGCTCGCTGGCGTTCCAGGCATATGGCGCAGACGCCCTGGTATGAATGAGGGGTGGGATCATGGGGATGGGGAGAGAATGGGGAGGTGCACGTTGGTTGTGATGCGGTAGAATTGAAAGGCGTGCCCGCACTCCACCTGAAGAGGGCGTGAGCAGTAGCAGGAGCAGGAGCAGGAGCAGGAGCAGGAGGAGGAGCAGGAGCAGCAGCAGGAGCAGCAGGAGCAGCAGGAGCAGCAGGAGCAGGAGCAGGAGCAGGAGCAGGAGCAGGAGCAGGAGGAGGAGCAGGAGGAGGAGGAGGAGGAGGAGCAGCAGGAGGAGGAGCAGGAGCAGGAGCAGGAGCAGGAGGAGGAGGAGGAGGAGGAGCAGGAGTAGCAGCGCCTCATGCACCTTCATGCTACCAGCGGCACCCGAAGCATTATGCAGCACGTGCACCACATCGCCAATCCACCAGCTTATCAGCAACAGCAACACGAGCATGAGCATCCGCATCAGTGCTGGGCTATCACAGTCACCATCAGCTTTAAAACTGCTATCTCACTCACCTTCATGCCGCCAGCACCACTGCCTGAGGAATCATGAACACGTTGACCACCTCGCCACTGGACGACATGGACTCATCACTGCCAAAGCTGCGGTCCAGCTGCGCCTTGAGTTAGCATGCCCCTCACTCACCTTCACCCCAGCACCATCACACTCACCTTCATGCCACCTGCAGCGGTCGAGGAATCATGCAGCACGTTCACCACCTCGCCACTGGACGACATGGACTCATCACTGCCAAAGCTGCGGTCCAGCTGAGCCAGCGAACGCGGAGACAGCGCCGGGGGCAGCGCCGACAGCGTCCCCCCTCCCGCTCCTGCTCCTGCTCCTGCTCCTCCTCCCACTCCCCCCCCGGCACCGCCTCCCACTCCTCCGCCTCCGCCCAGCCTCCCTCCGCCTGCTCCTGCTACAAGTGTAGTGACTGTAGCGGTGGAGATGGTACGGCTCCTGCCTCGGATAAAACTGCTGCTGTTGCTGATGCCGAGGGTGCTGCTGCCCGCATGGGCGTTGATGCTGCCGCTCACATATCCAACACCACTGCCAATGAGACCACCAGCAGCGCCACCACCACCAGCGAAGGTGCCCCCAGTGAGGCCGGAACGAGCAGCCAGGCCAGGGGATAGGCCAGCTGTCAAGCCGCCCGAATGCGACACCAGCGACCGCCGCCGCCCCTGTGGCCTGCCGCCCATGCCGCCCACGCTGCTTGTGCCAGCTGTGCCCATACCACCGCCATGTTGACCGGCGTTGACTTGTCCGGACGTGGTTTGACTGGCGGAGTGGGGGTACCCTGCAAGGCTGCTGCTGCCTGCCTGCGGCTGTAGCTGCGGCTGTAGCTGCTGCTGCCGGCCAAGCAGTCCCCCTCGCTCACCCACGAGCACCACGCTCTGTGACGTGCCTCGTCGCCTGCCAGGTATGGTCTGGCCCATTGACGCTTGCCGCTGATGCTGCTGCTGCTGCTGCTGCTGCTGTTGGAAAAGCTGGTGCTGGTATCGCCTGATGGGAGACCTCTCTGCAGTGCGGCGGAACGTGCCTTCCTCTATAGTCACACTGGGCGGCAAAAGCGTGGATATCGTTGCCGCCCGGCCCCGAAAAAACACCCCACTCCTCTCCCTCTCCTCCTCCTCCTCATCCTCCTCATCATCATCTCCCTCTTCATTAATCCCTGCCTCTCCTCGCCCCTCCCCTCCACTTCCCCCACCAGACTGACTCAGCCCTTCTCCCTCTGCCGCGCTTCTAGACCGGCTGTGCCTGTGGCCGCCGCCGTGGCTTATAACGGAGGAGGAGGGTGCTCCAGGAAGAGGAGGAGAAGGGGAAGCACCGACTGGTATAGTCACAGCTGCCGCAGCTACAGCCGCAGCTGCAGCTACAGCCCTGCTTCTGGGAGGTGAGGGCCGGAGGACGGTGGAACCACTGCCAGTAACAGGGTTACCACACGCGGAAGATACAGCTGCAGCAAGGCCCTGGGAGAGTACCATCTGTTGCTGCGCCCGAGCCACTTGGTTTGACTGCGCTGACGTCAGTGGCAGCGTGCTCCGCCGAACCAGCATCCTCGGGGACGTCGCCGAACCTCCCCTGGTTCGGCCTGCGAAAGATGAAACTTCAGACACCCGCTCCTCCTGAAGAGATGTGACCAGGCTGGAGTTGAACTCAAGACCTTTAGATTCCCAGAAACTCCCAAGATTTCTGGAGTCACTCAGGCCGTGGGAGGGGTCTGTGGGCCCTTGGGGGTCCATACGACCTTGGGAATTCACCCCATAAGTTCCTTGGGAATCCCGGAAAGATGCGGAGGAACCAGCGGTGGGGAGGGGTGACCGGACAGCCGGAGAGAGGGACGGGAGAGGGACTGACACAGGATCCAGATATGCTGCAGATGATGCTGATGCTGATGCTGCTCCTGGGGTTGCTCTGCTGACAGGACCACTGGAGATTCGGCTATGGTGAGGCCCGCTGAAGAATCCAGGAGGCTGCTGCTGCTGCTGCTGCTGCTGACTTTGCTGTTGCTGTTGATTCGTCTGCGTCTGCTGCAGGCGTGCTTGCTGGTGCGGTGACGAGTGGGAGGAAGAGGACTGCGACGACGCGTGCGACGACGACGACTGAGGCGACAGCTTTTTGTGGGATGGAGTCGATGAGGCGGAGGAGGAGGAAGAGCCGCCGCCGCCGCCGCCGCCGCCGCCGCCGCTGCTGCTGCCGCCGCCGAGCATGGCGCGGTAGAATCTCTGAAACGGCTTGCGGAACCCCGAGCTTACCGCGGATCCGCGGCTCCCCGCAGCGGCGGACGCTGCGCCGCCGGCGCAACCCTCCATGGCGGGCGACTTGGGCGACGGCGGCGACGCAGACGCGCCTGTCGCATGGTGATGATCACTATGCATGGTTGGTGCTTGTGAAAAACGGAAGACTATTGGTACTATTACCTTGTACTGGTAGCTGTAACGATAAGAGGGATAACTGGTAATGTTATGAGGCTGTGCTTTGCCACCACACGTTGCAATTGTAGTGTGAATCACGTTGCACTATTAGCGTGAATCACGCAAAACTTGCGTTGGAGAGCAGAACGAAGCCGTTGAGTCAGTTGGTTAATCTACGGAGCTTGATCTTCAGCGCTGCCGTTGTCAGATGATTATCAAGACCTCAGTGCGCGAGCGTCTGCATCTTTCAGGGCCGTCGCGGCCATCGTTTGCGGATTCAGATTCACGCAATTCTTTCAGATATCCAATTTTGAGCTAATAAGTACCATCTCAGAAGCACCTGACTGAGAGAGCTCCACAGCGAGAATCAAGCTCTTGAGGAAAAACTTCATGAGAGAAACGAGCTCAACGAGCAAGTCTTGTTCTAGTAGTAGAACCGCTGGGGAAAAGCACCAGAATCGGCGGAAAAAAGGAGGCAGCGGCAGCGGCTCAGTGTATCTCACTGACCATTGAAACACGGATCACAGCCAGTGCTATGGACCACAGAATCAAAGCGGTTCTTAGGCCAACGAGCGCGGCAATTCAGGCTTCAGATTAACCGCCGCTGAGGTCGCGGACTCTGCTAGTGGAAGAAGATAGAGATAACCGCCGATGCCATGACTCTGCACTGATAATACAGGTGGTGGTAATTTTAAGCGTCATCGTCCATACTAATCGACATCATCCGAATCTGGAAGGCCTGCCAGACTAGCTAGTAGAGGAATCGTAGCCTCTAGCCGGCGATCGTGTCGAGATCACGGCAGATTTTAGACGTACTAAGACGGTAGGGACAAGAATACCGCGCCGCAGCGATGCAAACGCATTCTGGCACACCATGGCTTAACTGGGAGCGTGCAATTGTGGTGCAGTAGTAGTCATCTGAATCATATGCATGAGGGATGCCCTGCTACTCCTCCTGCTGCTCCTCCTGGTGCTGCTGCTACCGTTGCTCACGACTCGAACAGTCGTCGCTCTCGGGTGTGACTGTGACCTCATGGAATTGGAACGATTTCCGTCACGGTCGAAGCCGCTGACGAATCGCTCTACAACTTGAACTGCTGCTGCTTCTACTAGTACTTGCGGTTTGTTTCGAAGCGGAACCGACGGCGGGGATGGGAGCAGCCGAAGCATTGTCATCAACATCACGCGACAACGCCATGTGTCGCACAGGGCGGTCTGCACGGTCGGGCGGTCTGGACGGTCGGGCGGTTGCGGCAGCCTGAGAGTTATGCCGCCTACTTGCGCCAGCAGCACTACTAGCGCCAGCAGCAACAGCAGCGGAGGCCGTTCTGTAACCGCACCGGAACCATCATAAACGCGCGCCGTACTATCATGGCGAAATCTACTACTACTCTGATTTTCTCGCGACGAGCACAAGATTCGTCGGCAGTGAATCGGTCCGCGATTGCCGCAGAACTCGCCGTTACTACGAGACGGACGAGGGTTTCAGTTCAGTTCAGTTCAGTTCAGATCAGCCTCGATTCGCTGGCTGTTGCGACGGGAGGCGATCTGAGCGAGTGAGACGAACGAAAGCTGTTGGTGGGGAGGATGGGATGGGAGGTTGGAGGAAGGGGGCAATGATGAGGGGGCGAGGAGGCACGTCATGGAGTCCACTTGACTCCATGAAAGCCTGTAAATGCTCAGTCAGCAGGGCTGCAACAGCAGCACCAGCGCAGGGAAAGCATGAGGGAGCCCAGAATATGGATGGCGTGTCTCTTCCCCTCACCCCACTTTCCCCAGACCTCCTTTCCCCACCCACCCACACAGTGAAAGCCCCCACAGCCACAAGGCAAGTTCCAACTTCCAAACCGGCTGAAAGCTTGTCTTCCGCTCAGCAGTCAGCAGTCACTGGGAGCGGATAGGACTGTATCGAATCGAGACTCGGGTCAGCGTGATGTCAGGGGTCCTAGCAAGGGCTCACCGATGTGGTTATTAGAATTTCCCACGCCTCTCGTTTTTTTTTTTCCGAAGATTATAGCATGTTAGCTGCTTTGAGTGCAAGATTTGGAATTTCTTGGTTTAGGGCTGGTTTCTTCCAACCCTAAAAGATGCAAACCACGGCGCAACTAAGCCCGTGCAGCAGAATACTATTCAAGTCTCCCCCAAATCTTTCAAGCTTCCCGTGCAGATGGGCGTTTGCAGGGGTGGAAGAAAGTTTCTGCCAAGTTGTAGCAGGCGATTATCTCTTGTTTCAAGCACTTCCCCAAAGCCCAGTGGGCCAGTCAGAAGCTAGCTACTACAGTAGTCGCATAAACAGTACGGAAGTCCAGGCGTCTTTCAGTTGACGTAGAATGAGAGTCACTGAGAAAGCATTGTGTTCACCTGATGATGTGTGAAATGGAGAGCGAGCCAAGCCAATGTGGGAGGGAGGTGGTTGTGGTTGGATGGAAGAAGTTGGGGAGTCGGGCAGACGAGGCGACGTCGTGCGGGGGATGGACAATCCGAGCCAAGCTGACAGGCTGCACATCGAAGCGCGACGACATCGAGGGGCCAATCACTGGGCGGTATGAGCACCGCAGCACCACCTTGGGAACATAGAGTGCGATTCGGAAAACGGTTGAATTTTTCTTGAGACGGTTGGATTTCCCCCTCCTAAAAACCGCGATTCTGTCCATCCGTTACGGATACAGCTCTTCGCACAATTAAAGAAGGTACCTACACGGCTACAGTACACACAGCAATAAACAATAACCAGTGGAGTTGAATAAACCACTTTGTCAACAATAACCAGTCTGGTTGTGAAATTGTGTGCCATCCATGGAATCCTCAACCTGAAGGGCATCATTTGAGATGGCTTGCTTCTCAGGAAAGGAACACCTTGGTATGTGCATTGCAAGATGAATAGTCTGCTGTAAATAAACTGGTAATTCCATGTCAACAAAAATCAGGCAATGTACTGCAGTAGTTGCTACTAGCATACGCTGCATCCTCTGGTCTAGCAGTTCCCTATACACCACACATCCAAATGAAGAATCTTTTTTTATGAGAAAACTCTCACTAAAGGGACAGATTGGCAGGCTTTGGCAGCAGCCCAAGCAGCTGAAACATCTCCGCATCCTCATCCTTGTCATTATTCGCCGTCGTCAGCAGCCGCTCCCCAGTAAAAATCGAATTAGCGCCAGCCAAGAAGCACAGCGCCTGCTCCGCTACAGACAAGCCGAGCCGCCCGGCGGACATGCGCACCATGGCTTGCGGCATGATGATGCGGGCGGTGGCAATCATGCGGAGTACGTCCCACACCGGCACGCGTGGTTGGCTCTCGAGAGGCGTGCCGGGGATGGGGACGAGGAGGTTGACCGGGACACTCTCCGGGTGCTGCGGCATGGTGGCGAGCTCATAGAGCAGGCCCACCCTGTCCTCCGCTGCTTCTCCCATTCCAATGATGCCTCCTGTTGGGTTCAAGGGGGGAAAGGGTGGGATGGAAGGAGGATGGGGATGGGGCTGATGAGCGAGTGAGGAAAGAGGGAGGGGAGGAGATGGGGACGACGGGGGGTGAAGAAAGGGGGATAGGGATGGGGACGAGGAGGTTGACGGGAACACTCGCTGGGTGCTGCGGCATGGTGGCGAGCTCATAGAGCAGCCCCACCCTGTCCTCCGCTGCCTCCCCTCCCTATGATTCCTCTGTGGGGGTTCACGGCTGTGTGGAGAAAGACGCACGCGTCCTGCTGCGTCCTGCGTCTGGACGCTGCGTCCAGACGCAGAGACGCAGGACGCACCCCGTATTTTTTTTCGGTCTGACCGGAATTTTTTTTTTGCCCCAACGTGAAATTGACTAACGATTTCGACGAGACTGTCAATTCCGCGTCGTGTCGACCCCCCCTAGGGTATTTTGACCATGAAAAACACCCTAGAGGGTTTACCAAGACAATTCTCCTTCGTAAACCCGAAACCCTGAAAATTTGAAGGGGACGATTTTGCCTCAGATGTGTGCATCGTCGTCTCCCCCCCCCCCCCCCCCCCCCCCCCCCCCCCCCCTTCCCATACCCTATAACATCATTTTTCGGCTGCCCAGGGTTTTTTTTTGCCCTGCCCGGGCATGCGTCTTTTCATGAGTCCTAAAGGCCCTCCTCTAGCGTCCTGCGTCTAAGACGCTGCGACTGGACGCAAGCGTCCTAGACGCAGGACGCGTCTTTCTCCACATAGGTTCACGGGAGAGAGAGGGTGGGGTGAATGTGGACAGAAGACGATTCTTTCTGATTAGATCTAAATTGATCCAAATAGATCAAAGGTAGGCAGTCATCATAGGTGCACGTGCTGATGACGTTGGGGTATAACTCATGGGACCACAAGGACCAAGGCCCAGGCAAGGCTCAGGCAAGGCCCAGGCAAGGCCCAGGCAAGGGCCAGGCAAGGGCCAGGCAAGGGCACAGGCAAGGGCACAGGCCACTCACCGGAGCAAACGGAAATGTCGGCGTTGCGCGCATACGCAATGGTCAGCAGGCAGTCATCATAGGTGCGCGTGCTGATGACATTGGGGTAGAACTCGCGGGACCACCACCCACCCACACACCAAGTGCAGCACAATCACCACAAGCAGTAAGCACACCCCAGCCCAGCAAAGAAACTGCTACGAGACAAAGCGCCAACTCACCGGAGCACACTGAAATGCCAGCGTTGCGAGCATAGGCAATGGTCTGCAGGCGATCGTCATAGGTGCGAGTGCTGATGACGTTGGGATAGAACTCGCGGGAGGTGTCGAGGTTGTGGTTGTAGGCCGTGAGCCCCGCCTGCTTCAGCTGCACTGCCTGCTGCTCCGTCAGCATGCCCAGCGTGCAGCACACCTCCATTCCCATGTCCCTGGGAAGGAGGAGGGAGACCGGAGAGGGGGGAGGGTGGGGAGAGAGCACATGGAGTCAGCTGCTTGCTGCTCCGTCAGCATGCCCAGCGTGCAGCACATCTCCATGCCCATGTCCCTGCAGGGAGAGGGGGAAGGGGGTGGTGGGCGAAGGGCGGGGAAAGAGGGAGGAGGAGAGGAGATGGGGTGGGGGGCGAGGTGACTTTTGAGTCGACTCAAACGTCAGCTCGTTACAATGTCACACGGTGTTTTCTCTACACGCAGGGCTATCTTAGCTGGGAGAAGGGCGGGGAAAGAGGGAGGAGGAGAGGAGATGGGGTGGGGGGCGAGGGTAGGGGTATCAGCTGCACTGCTTGCTGCTCCAGCATGCCCAGCGTGCAGCACACCTCCATGCCCAGCGTGCAGCACACCTCCATGCCCAGCGTGCAGCACACCTCCATGCCCATGTCTCTGCAGGGGAGGGGTGAAGGGAGAACGGAGGCGGGGGAGGGAGGGGGAAGAGAGGTGGAGGGTGAGGGACAGGGTGACATGACAGAGCGTGCAGCACACCTCCATGCCCATGTCCCTGCAGGGGCGGAGGGAGAAGAGAACAAGTGGGGATGGTGCAGCAAAACACACAAAGGATGGCCAGAGAGAGCACAGAGGCTCCTGCCGCACCGCCTGCTCTCCGCGAGCATGCCCAGCGAGCAGCACACCTCCATGCCCATGTAAGAACATGAAGGACATTTAGGAGGGTAGACGGTGGTGAGGAATACACAGGAGTTCGCGGTAAGGGGGTAGGGTTCAGCAGCTGCAGTGCATGAGCCCTCTCCAGCACACACGTGCTTAGCCTGTGCGAGGGGTGCTTGGGTGTTTGTTTGCGCCAAACCCCACTCCACTAACTTGAAATGCGGCCCATAGCCCTGCAGATTGTCAATGTCGTCGTCAGTGTGGCCCCATTTGTTAAAGCCCTCAACAGTGCCACTCAACAGTGCCACTCAACAGTGCCACTCAACATTCCGCTGTCTTGTACTGCGACAGAGGATACACACCAAGCCCAAGTTGCCCAATCATCAAGCCGATCCACGCACTCCCTCCTACTCACTCACTCACTTAGTTGTGAACGCCAAGCACTTAATGCGCACGTATCCTTGTTCAAATCGTCCGTGTGCCCCCCTCCCTCTGTCATGCATGCACGCATGCACCTACTCTGCTGCCCGCTCACCAACCCCCACTCGCCCACTCAATTGATGGTGCGCACAAAGCCCAGCACTTTGTTGAAATCGTCTGTGTGTCCCCCTCCATCCGTCTGCCATGCATGCATACACATGATGCACTAGCTCTGCTGCCCACTCACTTGATGGTGCGCACGTAGCCCCACTCACTTGATGGTGCGCACGTAGCCCCACTCACTTGATGGTGCGCACGTAGCCCCACTCACTTGATGGTGCGCACGTAGCCCCACTCACTTGATGGTGCGCACGTAGCCCAGCACTTTGTTGAAGTCGTCCGTGTGCCCTGTGGCGCCACGCCACGCCGTCCCCATGCAGAACCGCGTGCTGCCGCTCTCCTTCGCCTGGCGCGGATGAGGGCACAAGGGCAGGGCAGGAGGGACACACGCACGCATACAAGCACACAAGCAAACAAGCACACACGCACACAAGCACACACGCACACAAGCACACACGCACACACGCACACAAGCACGCACGTGTAAGCGACTGGAGATGGCGCCTCGCCTAGCCACGCCGTGCCCATGCGGAACCGCGTGCTGCCGCTCTCCTTCGCCTGGCGCGGATGGGGATGACACGAGAGGGAAAACACAAAGCACAACGCACGGAGCACTTCAGCAAGCAAGCACGAAAGTACATATGCACGCAAGTACATATGCACACAGGCACGTCCGTCCGTGTGCCACGTGGGCCTATTTTTGAGTCGACTCAAAAACAAGTACATATGCACACAGGCACGTCCGTCCGTGTGCCACGTGGCTTGTGTTACCTCATGCCTTCTGGTCAACTCGCTACTGAAACGCTTCGTTATGAGAGCAACCTTACAGCATGACTCGATAACAGCCAGCCCGTTATAGGCTCATTCACATTCTTCGCAACACTCACAACATCGACTTCCAGCATGAGCTTGCCTGGCACTCTCGTTATGAGCCCAACCCGTTATAAGCGCACTTCAACATTATAGCCCACTCACTCACCTTCTTCGCGGCGCTAATCACTTCGTCTTCCGGCATGAACTTCCCCGGCTCCAGGCTGGTGTCATAGCGCGACGAAAAATGTTCGTTATACGCACAACCTGCTAGAACCCCACCCCGCTATAAGCCCAACCCAGTATACCCCCCCTCACCTTCGCGGCGCTGATAACCTCGTCCTCCGGCATGAACTTCTCGGGCTCCAGGCTGGTGTCGTAACGCGACGACTTCCCTCGTTATACGCCCAACCCGCTATAAGCATAAACCATTACAACTTCTCACCTTTTTCGCGGCGCTGATAACCTCGTCCTCCGGCATGAACTTCTCCGGCTCCAGGCTGGTGTCGTAGCGCGACGACTGCGCGCAGTAGGAGCAATCCTCGGAGCACCCGCCGGTTTTCACGGACAGCAGCGTGCACTGCTGCACCTCCCTGTTCCTGTGCACCGCGCGGTGCACCTGCGACTGTAGCGGGAATCGCGGGGGAGACGGAAGAGAGGGGGAGGGAGAAACGGTGGGAGGTAACGGGGTGAGGAGATGTGGAATAGGAGGGGAACGGCAGGGTGTTGCCGGGCTTCAAAAAGTGCACTGCTGCACGTCTCCGTATCCGTCGGCGGGTTGGTGCACCTGCGGTGACTGTAACCCCTGAAATGGGACGTCGAGTGGATTACCTGGAACTCGTCCCTCGTCCAGTCCGTTCTCGGCGGGTTCGCAAATGCGTACCTCTTTTACGGACCGCACCCAGACGGGATCGTACCCCTACAAACCGTACCCCAACGGACCGTACCCCGTGGAAAATAAGGTCGAGCAGCGGCGACGAGTAGATGGCCTGGATCTCGTCCCTTGTCCAGTCCGTTCTCGGTGGGTTCGCAATTGCGTACGCCGCCGCATCGCTCGCTGCTGATGTCAGCGACGGAGTCAGCTGCGGCGACGCGGGCGCTGCGGTTGACGCGGCAGGCGGCGCGGCTGTGACCGCTGCGGACGCTGCTGCTGCAGCGGAAACAGATCCGGTTGATGGCGAGCCGCAGCAGCTTCCGGACTTGGCGGTGGCGGGAAACGCGGAGGACGCGGAGGAGGAGGACGGGGTGGAGGAAGGACCGACTGACACGCAGACGACACGTGGCGCGCTTTTAGGAGCGACCCGTGAGGCCGTGCGCGACGGGCACGCCAGCACGCGAGCCGCAGTTAGCGAAGTGGTAGCCATGGGAAATTGAACCCAAGGACGAAATAACGATCTAGATCAGGCAACGAAGCCGAGTGAGAGCTAAAGAATTCTCGACACAGACTGCACTGATCCGACCGTTTTACTAGCAGACCGACCGATCACGCACTATCTCGAGCGTCTGATTCGCCTGCTGATGAGGGGCCGAAAGGACGACTTCGGCTGAAGCAATGAGAGACTGGTCAACCTAGAGAAACTCGAGCTTCAGATGACAGCAGTAAAGCATTCAGCGATGAAACTAGGGAAAGGGAGAAACGGGGAACACATCACCGTACAAGTCAGTCCATGGGTTTGCGGTTCTGCTTGTGTAGTTGCCCCTGATAATTTCCTTCCTACGAGACTGCAGTATGGATCTTCTATTTGCGACTTACTTACTGGTGAGAACTCTAGTGAGGATTGCGACTGGGTAGAAATCAGAGTACTGGAATACGGGATGCAGCTGAAAACATTTGAAATGTGAAACAGCCCCTAGGGTGTTGCACGTGACGTGACTATCCGTGATTTCGTGCGACTGACACGTGGCAAACACATCTCTTTCATCAGAACCAAAATCCCCTCCAATCGGAGCACCGACAGTTTTCGGCACTGGCTTGCTAAAGCTGATACAATTATCATTAAAAAACCAGAGATATACCATTTGTAATATCCTTATAAAGTTCCTTCCATTACCTCGTTCTGAACACCAAAATGGTGGGCCTATTTAATGCGGAAGAATTAGTAACATTCTGGCTACGAACGCGAAACTATAACGACACATTCTAACTTTAGTCCCTCTGGAAGGTGAACATCTTGTGTAACAGACCTGAAGGTTTGTGCATATTCTTCTCCGTTCCGCCCGAATCCTGTATCTCCACGTCCTTGCTCGCAATATCATGACGTCTGCCACCGCCTCCACCCTTCCCACCCACTGCCCTCACTTTCTCGTCGTCATCACTATCATCGTCCGACAAATGACGTTGAAGGCTCGTTCTCGGCTTCTGACCTGCTCCCAAAGCCCCAATTGCGCACTTGTCTTCATTATAATCATCATCAATACTCCTCCTTATCCTCCTCCATGATGATGACACACCGTTACCACCAGCAGTCACGCCATCCTTCCTATCATCATCATCCAAGCTCCGACACAGTTTCACCGGCTGCCTCCTCACCTGGCCCTCCCCGCTCTGTCCTTGCTCCCCTCCTTTCTCCCCACCACGCACACCTCTCCGCCCAACCCCACCACACTCACTTGCTGAGCCTTTCTGAGCAGCAACACCCTCCTTCTCCACACCCCTCCCAAGCCTGCTGCTCTGCCGGGAACTAACAGAATCACCCCCAGCCCTTCCCACAACCCCATCCCTCTCCATACTCCTGCTCAGCCTGCTGCCCTGCCGAATGCTCGTACCATCACCCTTTCCAGCTGCTGCCCCAGCTGCCCGTAAAATGGATCCTCCTGACCTCGTGGGACTACCAGCAGGACGATTTGAGCTGGGACTGCCAATACTGGGTGAGCTGCTGCGTTCCCGAGGCTCTGATGCCGACGGCCGGCGATCTGAGCCCGACGTTGAAACCTGGGGGGATCTGCTGCGGTGCTCGCAGTCGTCCTCCTCCAGGCTTCGCTGAAATTGGCTCTTCGGCTTCCCTTTACCCTGGGAAGCAGACTTACCAGCCTGCGTGGAGTTTGGTTGAGTCCGTGTGGCTCGGTCCGGCTGTTTTCCGTCTCCTTCCGATCCTCCCTTTGCGTGGCGGGACGATGGGTTGCGGCGCGCCGTGGACAGCCCCGCCGTACCAAGCTGACGTGGCGACATATCATCGGCCGCGACATCGTCGTTCTCCAAGCTCCTCTGCAGCCTCCCTGACCCACTCTTTCCTGACCGTTGATCTTCGTTCTCATCGTCCCCCAGATTCCTGCTCAGCCGTCCAGATGATCTTCTCCCCGACCCTGCTAAAATCCTCCCTACCCCTCCTAACCCCGTCGAATTCTCCTGGCTGTCTCCTGAACCGTTCCGGCCATTTGTCCTCCCCAAGGTTCCATCCTTTCGAACGCTGTGCGAAGACGCCGCCCGTTCCGTTGCCGACCCTTCCGCGCTCGGCTTGCCACGCTGGCACGGCGCCGCTCCCTCTGCCACGTCATCGTCCTGAACACTCCTGCACAGCCGCCCGGATCCCCGTTTATCCGAAGCCAAACCACTCGAAGTGGCAGAAACACTCGCCACCCTGACGTTACCACCAGTGGTAGCTACCACTGGGACGTCATGTGACGTCACATGGTGGTTACCACTGGGCCCTGTTCCTTCGTTGCTGTCTCGCCTAGGCCTCCCCTGCCAGGTGAGGCAGTGGGTGTACTCGCACGGCTGCTGCTGCAACTCGCTGGAAAGGTGGTAACCCGCTGGATTATTATTCGCCAGCTCGTCGCTCATACTGCTTCGCGAGCGGCGATGGTGCGACGCATGGCCTGGCGCGTGGTAAGGAAATCCCTCCGAGTGACGAAGAGGCATGCTAGGAGCAGCCATTTGCCGTACATGACGGTCTGTTTGCGGTGAATCTGTGATTGGGAATGTGAGACAGAGTAGGTCGGAATAGGAGCAGAGAGGAGTAAAGATCAGGACGGAAACAGCGTGTATGAAAACGCTTAGACTTCGGCTTTGGCTTTTATCAAGCTTCGACGGCTTCAGTGTGCGTCATGATTATCATCATCATCATAATGTGAATGAAGAAGTGTTTTGAGACGTCTCAAAACACTTCTTCAATCATAATGTGAAGGCACGGATACTATCCTTGAGATGGCACGGACATAAAAAACCACGGATAGCCTTGAGTCGACTTCAGAATACAGAGAGCGTCCAAATACACACCTGGGTAAAGGTCGTCGGATTCCGTACTTGGCGACCGCGGAAAGTGAAACATCTCTGCCGCGCTGCTTCTTGCCGATTGCTGAAGCGCCGGGACGTAGTACGGTTGAGGCGCGCCGGTGAACGACAGACGCGATGATCCCACTGGCAGTAGCGCCGGCGGGCACATGACGATCCCTCCGCCCGTCTCCAGCGCCGGCGTACGCGGGGAGAACGCGGGGGAGCTTCCGCCACAAGGGTTCTGTGCACCGCGGAAGCACGCGCCGGCGGCGGGAGTTCTCGCTGGACTCGAGCTGCACGAGGCCGTCGGAGGCCCGAGCGCTTCGAGCGGCTGGCGCCGCGGCGAATGCGAGCCTGTGCGCGGTACATTAGAGAAAGCGGCGGGGTTGGAATGCCGCGAGATTGGCGGCGGTTGAAACGGCGCGAGTCCCTTCCGCTGTTGGGAAAGGCCTCTGGGAATCTGAGACGTCTCTAAGGTCGCCGTAGAAACTTCGAGCGGCTGAAACGGCGCGAATCTCGGCGTGTGCTGCTGAGCGAGGCCCACGGGACCCTGGGCGCGCGTCGGCATGATGACTGGGAACTGGAGGAGCCGCGACGCGACGCGCGACACCGGACTCGGTGCGAGCTTGATTCTAAATCGGATTTAACTTGACGATATATTGAGTTTTCTAGCTTCGAAGGTAACTTGACGGTTGACGGTAAGCGTCACGATACGCTAGTAGACTGACGAAATAAATAGAAGCTACTGGATGCAGCGGCCTCACTACGACAAGCAATGGTCAGTCATTCGTGCTGAAGCTGGTGGTCAGAAGAAGACATCATGACCAACATATGACACCTCAACTTAAAGACCGCGACGAGCGTGGTGCAACCGTACTACACGTAGTAGTGCCCCTTTCAAGAAAGAGTCCTTTCGGCCTACTCGACAACGCAGCAGCGGCAACTGGTACATCTCGCTCGCTCCCTCCCCCTACCTGTGGCCGGTTCTCTCGCCTTTCTTGGTTTCCTGTCCTTGTGCCTACTACAGTTATGTTGCAATCCTGCGATTTTCTCTTCATTCCTTCGCTAGCTAGACGAGAATTTCGTGCGAGTTCCCCCAGACGCGACTCGATGTTGTGGAAGATTGCGGCTCCATGATGCGAGCAGTCGTGCCGATGCGTCTTGGCAGCAGGCAGGCAACTGGGATGTGATTCACGAGTTTTTGCTCCGCCTCAACAAATGAGTTTCTTCACATGCCGTATCCATCCATCGGGATTCGGTACAGTTCCTTACTGCCTCGTCAGATTCCTCACACAGGGATGAATGACTAGAGGTGACGGGCTCCAATAGGAACGGACGATTCACCGGTGAAGATGCTCATGACAGACAGAAGAAAGCAATTTTCTTGCTGGGATTGTGAAGTGAGGCCTCCTCACTTACGGAGTCAGCTGTAATCAAGCTTGCACCGCTGTCGATGGTTGTGACGACCAATACTTAGGGCGTATTCCTAGCTCGTGTCTGACTCAGGTCATCCATCCTTGGCAACATTGAGAAGAGACAAATCAGAGACTAAGGGCGGATGACCTGATGTCAGACCCGCCATAGGAATCCGCCCTAGTTTCTTTTCCTGCTTGGGCGCAACGAGCACTTCTGAAACATTCCCTGGATAGTTTCTTTCCTGCTTGGACGAAACGAGCACTTCTGAAACATTCCCTGGAAAATCAGAGTACCATAGGACGCTCTAGGAAATCAGAGCCAGCCAAAAATCTTCTGATATACGTGTCCAAAACTCAGGAGACCTTGGGATTGTTGGAACAAGTGGAGCTATTCAACTTTCGGCTACATGTGCTGCAAAGTATATTCCGAAGTGCGTGGGAACTTGGGGTTCGAAACCTTGTTTCTCACCGTAGGTACGGGGAGTGAGGATAGCGGGAAGATGGTGATGTCGAGAGGGCTCCTAGGGAGAAGAGGGCTAAACCCGGAAACTCGATGTCGTACAATTTAAAATTAAAAACTTTACAAAAAATCTGAGGTAGTCCTAGATTTTGCTCATATCCGGTCAGTTCTAGGCTAAAACAAACTGCACAAACCCGCGTGGGCATGACCCTGTCCCCCCCCAGGTCAGAACAAGCAGGTTCTGTTCTCGTTATGTTCTCGTTACAAGTGATCAAG